TCACAGACTGGTACCAGTCCCTGGCACAGGGGTTGGGGACTCCTACATTAATGGTATGTGTATACTAATAACGGATGACCATGGCTGGAGGCAATATAAGAAATCTAGAAGGTTTTCAAGCAGAAAAAAAAAAAGTGCTTTATGAGATGTATAGAAAAGCTTTTGAATACTAAATTTGAAGGCATGCAGACCTGAAAGTGGGTAGGGGATCTTGAAAATTTGGTTAGTGGGTCTGACCTTTTCTACCCTCAACACTCTTGATGAACTGGGTATATTCCTATAAAAGTAGTACACTACAGTGTTAACTTTCAAGCTGGGTTTGTTAGTGATCATAATGGTGGCTACCCATCCTCACTAATTATTACTGATAGAAGAAAGGAATCAACTGTATTGAACAACGAAATGTAGCAGATGCAATAAATATCGCTTGAGTGTACTCTATGATAATTACAAAGTTCTGAGCAAGACTGACCAGGACAAGGGCAGCCCCATGGACATGCACAGATTGAGTCTGAATGGGCACTACAGAACATTTTCAGTAGGGAGCTAAAAGTAGAGATGAAGTTTAGCATCTGGGTAAGGGGTAATGTCAGGAAACAGTGAGTTAGTGGTTATCTCTAAGTGGTGAATTTTTAAGAAATTTTTACTCCATATTTATACGTTCATGATTGTCTGAATTTTTAAATGAACTATACATTTTTTCATTTGGGGACAGAAAAGCACAATAAGGTCATTATAACGCCTACAAACAGGGCTGGACAAAGCTCTAGGAAATGTCTAAAGACAGAACTGAAAATAGAATGACAATGAATGGTACAAAAGCCTGGTTTCTAGATATTTTTGACCCGGCAATTCAATATTATTCAGCTTCTGTAACTGTTCATCATATGTGAATTGCCCAGCTCTAGAATGCTTATAGGATGATGGAGCATGTGGGTAACCATCTATTACTAAATATCACCAGGTTCTGAGGTTACCAAGTCAAGATTATTGGGAGCTAATAAACTGAAGAAACTCAACATTAATTAATGAATGCCTGAATGGATAAAAGGAAGCTACTAGGAATGAATATAAAGACAGGCAGTTTAAAAAAAAAAAAAAAGATAAAATGATGAATGAAAGCATAGGCACAAATTTGACATCATTAGCACAGAAAGCTCCAAACAACATGCTGTGAACCAAGAGTTTAAACACTCTCTCCCTTTTCCCATACTCTAGTTTTCTGTCATTGTTTCCAATTCATTTTTTTCATGTCATCTCCAAGTTTATACTCCATTTTATTTTTATGATTTTGTGACACATAAGAAGAAATATATATGTTGATTTTTATCCTGGTCTTTCCTGGTACACAGCTCCTAAAACCCTTAGAATTGCCAAAATGATAAGTGTCCTTTTGTATGCTGTTGAGATGACCGGTAGCTAGGGGTTCCTACATAGCATCAGTATGAGGGCTGGTTGCCAGGGGAATCAACCAGAGTTGGAGCTTCCAGCTTCGGGGAGAAAGGCTAAAGGTTGAGCTGATCACCAGTGGCTGATGATTTAATCATTCATGCCTACTTCATGAAGCCTCTATAGAAATTCACAATGACTAGGTTCAGAGAACTTCTGGATAGCTGAACACTTGGAGATGCCTGGAAGGTGGTGCCCCTGGAAAGGGCATGGAAGCTCCATGCTCGTTCCCACATACCCTGCCCTTTCCATCTTTTCACCAGACCACTCTTCTGTAGCCTTTGTAACATCCTTCATAATAAACTGGTAAATGTATACAAAGTACTTTCTTGAGTTTTGTGATGTTTGAAACCAAAGGCAGTGCCAGGGCTGTTGCAGGAACTCCCAATTTATAACTGGTTGTCAGATGTACCAGAGGCCTGGACTTGAAACTAGCATCTGAAGTGGGGGACAATCTTGTGGGATTGAGCCCTTAACTTCTGGAACCTGACTTTACCTCCAGGTACTATCAGAATACAACTGAATTATAGGATACCCATTTCGTATCCTCTGGAAAATTGGCTGGTATAAGAAACCCCCCTATTTGGCCACAGAAGTGTGCTGAGTCTGAGAATAGGAAAAACAGCTTGGTTTTTCTTATTTCATACGAGCTTTGTACACAGCAACAGAGTTAAAGAGATAGCAAGTCCATAAACTCTAATTTCTCTATGCTTCCAACCATAAATCAACTCTCCCAAATCTCTAAAGCAGTGCATTCAAAAAGTGAGTCTAAAATGCATGTTCTCACCCTTGTCTCCAACTCTAGGGGACATCTTTCAATCTAGAATTCTAACAAGTACTCCAGATCATTCTGATGCAATTGTTGTTGCAGTTAGGTAACAGGTAGCAACAATTAGAAAATGCCTTTTACAAAGATCCTTAACTTTTATTCATTAACCCATGCTAATCATTTAAAAAGGCTTAGGGAAAACAAACAAACAAATGTACCTTTTTCCTTAATCGAGCAGCATTTACCAATTCGCCATTATGTGCCACAGCTATCTTCCCATGAAGTGTTTCAACAACAAAGGGCTGACAATTTTCTAATTCACATTTTCCTGTAGTGGCATATCTTGTGTGTCCAATTCCAAGATTTGAAACATACAATTTTTTCAAATTGTCTTCAGTAAAGACGTGATTTACAAGACCCATTCCCTTGAGAAATCAAAAAGTGCAACTTAGAAAAAAACAGACTAGTACTGCTAGTAATAAACGCCTCTCTTCTCTGCTCAGCCAATCCAAATAAGACAAAGAAGTACATTTAATTTCTCTGTGTTTCAGAATTCTAATCTAAAAAAAAGGCCAAAAACAAATAACCTAACTGTAAGAACTGTGAAGCACTTACTTAAAAAAATTTATTGAGGCAAAAGTCACATAACATAAAATTAACCATTCTACAGAGAAAAATTTAGTGGCATTTAATACCTTCACAATGTTGAAGCACTTGTGTTTCATAAGATACTATTCACTAAAACATTTAAGAACAGATGTACTAAGCAATAAAATTTATCAAGCATAAAAACTAAGATTTGCATTAAACAAATCAAAGCATCTTAAAGCATTTAAATAAATGACTCCCTATTTGAGTTGGTCTTAGGCAAAAAATTGTCACTGGGGAAGAAATACATCCTAATTTGATAAATGTTAGGATATAAAGTTGAAAGTGGCTGATCCAAAGAATATCACTTTTGACTGCAAATTATTTATTCACCCCCCCCATATTAATGATCACCTGTCTTTTGTTATCTTTGTCATCCCATTTCTTTCACTTATTTATTTATTTATTTATTTTTTTGAGATGTAGTTTTAGTCTTGTTGCCCAGGCTGGAGTGCAATGGTGTGACATTGGCTCACCGCAATCTCCGCCTCCCAGGTTCAAATAATTCTCCTACCTCAGCCTCCCAAGTAGCTGGGATTACAGGCATGCGCCACCACATCTGGCTAATTTTGTATTTTGAGTAGAGACAGGGTTTCTCCATGTTGGTCAGGCTGGTCTCGAACTCCCGACCTCAGGTGATCCTCCTGCCTTGGCCTCCCAAAGTCCTGGGATTACAGGCATGAAGCACCACACCCAGCCTGTCATCAAGATTTCTTAAAGTTCAAATTTACCTTGTGTGATTTGAATGTTGGCACTGAACTCCCGTCACTAGTCACAATACCAGCACTCTCCTGACCCCTGTGAATATAAAAAGATATTAGCTGTTAAATCTGCCAATTGATGAGCTTCTTGAAGAACTTTATCAAGCATACTTTCTCGACAAGCATCCATGAACTTAGTGTGACAACACATTAAATGCTACTTGTACTAGCACTACTCCTATTGATGATGCTGATGCTGATGATTAGCAATCACAGCAGATGACAATGTAACAACTAGATATCTAATTCTAACTAACATGTCCTAAGCATTTTACGCTGTAAAAATAAATAATTTAAAACCTACTGGAACCCCAAATATACTTTAGGCCTTGAGAGAGATATGACTGTGATCCAAGTCACATATGGTTACAACTTCTGTTTCTCAGACTCACTTTCTTATTTTTCTTGTTCTATACAATGACTAGAGAGAATTAAAAGACATCAGAGACGGCCGGGCGCGGTGGCTCACGCCTGTAATCCCAGCACTTTGGGAGGCCGAGACGGGCAGATCACGAGGTCAAGAGTTGGAGACCATCCTGGCCAACATGGTGAAACCCCGTCTCGACTAAAAATACAAAAATTAGCTGGCCACGGTGGCACACGCTTGTAGTCCCAGCTACTGAGGAGGCTGAGGCAGGAGAAACGCTTGAATCTGGGAGGCGGAGGTTGCAGTGAACCAAGAAGAAGAAGAAGAAAAAAAAAAGACAACAGAAGTGATAACATCCTGCCTTCTCAAGTGATGACCTTTGTTAAAGATTAACTTCTAGGCAGAGGTGGGTGGATCACAAGGCCAGGAGACCCAGACCATCCTGGCTGACACGGTGAAACCCCATCTCTACTAAAAATACAAAAAATTAGCCGGGTGTGGTGGCGTGCGCCTGTAGTCCCAGCTACTCGGGAGGCTGAGGCAGGAGAATGGTGTGAACCCAGGAGGCAGAGCTTGCAGTGAGCCGAGATCGCACCACTACACTCCAGCCTGGGTGACACAGCGAGAATCCATCTCAAAAAAAAAAAAAAAAAAAGGATAACTTCTGCTTTGCTGTGCTGCATAGACCAAATGAAAGAAAACCCATTGGCCGGGCGCGGTGGCTCAAGCCTGTAATCCCAGCACTTTGGGAGGCCGAGGCGGGTGGATCACGAGGTCAGGAGATCGAGACCATCCCTGGCTAACATGGTGAAACCCCGTCTCTACTAAAAATACAAAAAACTAGCCGGGCGTGGTGGTGGGCGCCTGTAGTCCCAGCTACTCGGAGGCTGAGGCAGGAGAATGGCGTGAACCCAGGAGGCGGAGCTTGCAGTGAGCCGAGATCGCGCCACTGCACCCCAACCTGGGCGACACAGCAAGACTCCGTCTCAAAAAAAAAAAAAAAGAAAGAAAGAAAGAAAACCCATTAACAATTACATCCTCTGTAAAAAATGTTAAAGGTACCCTTCCCCAAAAGAACCACCACCTATAACCAATCAAACTGCTGTAACTGGGCGCTAACCTTGTATAAAAAATGTTGTGATTCTGCTAAAAACTCCTCTGTCTGCCTATAGAAATGAAACCTTAACTTTCCTACTTCTCAATGCTGACTCCATTCCTTGGAGTTGGTGTTTCCAGGTGAGTCATCCTCAAACTTGGCGCTTGAATAAACTCTTTTAAACTAGATTCTGATCCTTTTAATTATTTAAGTTGATAGCATGAGTGATCTAATTTGGCTTTCACAACAATCCTATGAAGTAGGTACTATGATTACCACGCCCATTTTACAGATAAACACACTAAAGCAATAGAAAGGAAGTTACTTTCCCATTGCCAAACAGACAGCAAGTGGTACAGGCAGGATTCGAATACAGACAACCCAACTGCAGAATTTATGCTTCTAACCTCTACACTTTATAACCTCTAAATAGGGTTTCAACAGGATGAGTATGTAGATATAAATTAAAACCTCCAAATATAATAGAGGCAAAATGTGTAGCTGGTACTGAAACTATAACCATTTTTTGTGCCCTTCTGCATTTTCCAAATGTTTTCCAATAAATAGCACTTTTATTATTAGAAAAAAAAAAAAAGGTTGTTTTTGAAAACCCTCTGCTGACCAGGCACCCTTTCCCATGTCTGTGTCTCATTTCCTGCATTAGTGTTTTTAAGTGGTGATACAGAGAAAACAGCCAAAATCTAAAGACATAGTAAAGACTAAGAGCATCCATACCGCTGTGCAGTATAAACTCTCATAAAGGTTCCAACTGCTTTACAATTTTTAATAGTTCTGAACAAGTGCTATAAATAGTAGATGTTTATTGACCAATTTTTGTTCCAGAGAACATATATAGCAGGATAGAAACAAAAAGTAAACCTCTTCCATATGTGCCTGTAGACTTTAGTGGCTGTTAATACATTGATTTATTTGGTAAAAAGGAACCTTTTTCAAAATTATATATTGCAATTGTTGCAGCATTTTATTAACGAGAAAAACTATAACATTAAATACGTTGCCAAGTAAAACTCTAAAAAACACTTGGCATGATCACAGCTCAGAGCAGCCTCAAGAACTGATTTTATTAAATGCATTAAATACTGAAAATAGATATGCATAATACTATGTACCATATGGGACTAAATAAATTATGACTTATGATTTCTTTTATTTAGTGAAATGCTATGGGGTCTGTATGTTAACCAATGTTAGAGGACTAGGTGATTCATGTCAGTGGAAATGTATTATTAACAATGGTTATAAACCTCTGGGAAAAAACCTCTGCCAACCATTTTCAAAACAATTTTTAAAAATCAACAATCATTTGGTAAAACAGTAAATTATGAAAGAAAAGAAATACACAAAAAACGGTTTTCTTTCCCTTTTGTCTCAAGGGTAGTTCTTCCTTCAAGCTGAAATGAATATGGTTAAAAATCATTTAGGTCCAGGCTTCTTTAATCACAAAGCCTGCTTATTTGGCAGTTTCTCAAGTTACTCCCTCAGGCAGCTTGAACCAGTTAAACTAGATCCTTTCAGCTCTTCAGAGCTTATTGACAACCAGCCGTCTGGTTTCCTAGGAAACAAAACCTTGGCTAGAAATAGTGAATCATTTCCAGGTCACTTTCAACATGGAGAGTGGAGCAGGAAAGCACTGGACTGAGGAGGAGGTTAAAGCTTTGCTAAGTGTCTGGGCAGAAAAAAATATACGAAAACAACTTTATGGAACACTAAGAAATAAAGGAATATTTATTTACATTGCTAAAAGGCTGCAATCATTAGGAGTATACAGAGACTGGAAACAGTGCCGGGCTAAGTACAAAAATCTCAAATATGAATACAGAACAGTTAAATATGCCCATAACTCTGGAGACAGCTCTAAAACTATGAAGTTCTTCCACGATTTGGATGTAATCCTGCAGTATGAACCTGCCACACAATTTACAGAGGAAGATGCAAATGGCAGGTACCTGGAAACGCTCAGCCCAAGTACAGCCCCAGAGACCACTGAAGGTAAAAAAAAAAAAAAAAAAAAAAGTACTCTTTTGTTTTTGTTTTGTTTTACAGTTTTACAAACTGTAAAAGTTCAAGACTTCTGAGGCCATATGATAAATATAGACTGAAATGTCAAGACTGAGGAAAAATAACCAATTTATTATGCTATTTTGCACAAGGTTAAGGATTAATTTTTTTAAAAAGAGGTTAAATATTACCACTTTAAAAAAATCTGTAAAATACAGAAAAAGCACATTACAATGGCACCGACTGCTAGTGCCAACTGCATGTGATGTTTCTGAAATATGGATTGGGTTCTAAAAATTGTTTAAGTTTTAATTTTATAAGAGTGGCAAAAAGGGGGAAAAATATCAAAAACATTAATTAACTGATGTTTTTCCACAGCTCCAAACAAGAACTTTCTCCTTTATTTTGTTTCCATTTTCCTAAATTGATAAATAAAAGCACATTTAAAATAACTGTTCAATACTATTTCATTACTTGTTTCGAAGAACAGCTCCCTTTTAACAATGAAGAAGAACAGCTCCATTTTAACAATAAAGTATCACGAAGATGTAATAGATTAAATGATCTGAGACTAAGTGATTTAGAGGAGTTTCTTGACGCACTGTGTTGTTAAACTCAATACTACTTACATAGAATCTGCTCACTGTCTGTGGAAACATTAGTAGGCAAAGGGAGGGAAATCAATGACAGTAATAAGATTTCTACCATAGTCTAAACCTTACAGATGCTATTTTTAAGAGCAGAATTATTCAAAAATCTGTAACACCCACTATCTGTGTGTACCATGGGCAAAGCACTAAGCTATATACATTTAGTAATGTGAAACCTCAAAAAGGACAGAACTGCAAATAAATTTAACACCTGAGAGAAAATAGTAAATAGTATAATAAAAGTACCAAATGTGAATTGGGTTAAGAGGACAAAGATTACAACTGGTTAACTTAAGTTAGCTAATTTTCATGTTTACAGCTCAGTAACAAATCATTTCATTAAAAGAAGAATCCACCCTGCCTACATTCTTTCAATTTCTGAGATGACACCAAATTCTGAGAAAGCTTTGCGGTTATTACCATATTAAACAGCAATTACATTATTTTATTCAATTAAACACCTTCGACTCTTCATTATTTAAGTGCTTTAAATATTGATTAATAAATAAGTAAATCACTTAGCTTCTGAAAGTCCCCGATTTTAACCAGGAGTTGGTCTGATGAAGATGTGGGTGCCAATATCTCCACTTCTTAAAGGGATCTTCAGCCCTTTCAGGTATTCCCTTGGCTCCAAACTCCTTCATTTTCACTCATAAACAGAGGGACTATACTTACAACTTAACTATGCACGTTTAGGTACCTCAAACCCCCAATTCCAAAATCAAACTCTCTCTTCTCCCATCAACTTTTTTTTTTTTTAAGAGAGAGGGTTTCATTCCTGTCACCCAAGCTGGAATGCAGTGGCGTGATCTTGGCTCACTGCTCCAGGACTCAAATGATCCTCCCAACTCAGCCTCCTGAATAGCTGAGACCATGGGGCATGACCCACCATGCCTGGCTAATTTTTTGTATTTTTGGTAGAGATGGGTTTCACCATGTTGCCCTGGCTGGTCTCAAACTCCTGGGCTCAAGAGATTCTCCTGCTTCGGCCTCCCAAAGTGAGGCATGATCCACCACATCTAGCCCGAATTTGATCCTCCTACAAATTGCTTCCACTTTAGCATCACTATATTTCCAATCACTTATACAGAAACATTTGAGATATCCTTGATTTTTGGCCAGTCACTAAGTCTTTAAAAAATCTGCTGACATACTGCATAAAATTTTCTCTCTGCTCTATTCTCATTATGACTAACCAGAACTTCATCGTCTCTCATATACAATATTAATGTAACCTCTTTACTGGGCTCCCTGGTTTTCAGCCTCTTCCCATATACTTTCCACAATACCACTAGTTGTTTTTTACATTTTTAAATTATAAAATTATAAGCACATTAACATTTTGGTTGCATTAAAAATAATCTTTATACCCAAGATTAATCATGATCTAAAATTAAATATTACAATTAATGGTTCCATAATATTTAACTGAGTGTGGGTCTTCACCCCCCTCAGGCAAATGATACTGCAATTAATAACTTTTGTCCATTTTTAGTATTATTACTTTAGGACACAAGTCCTAATACTGATTCAGAAGGATATAATTACTTTGGTTTTTTTGTTGTTTTGTTTTGGGTTTTTCATTTTGTTTTGTTGTGTTTGAGATGGAGTCTCACTCTGTCAAAAAGGCTGGAGTGCAGTGGTGTGATCTCAGCTCACCACAACCTCTGCTTCCCAGGTTCAAGCGATTCTCCTGCCTCAGCCTCCCAAGCTGGGATTAGAGGCACACGCCACCATGACCAGCTAGTTTTTGTATTTTCAGTAGAGACAGGGTTTCACCATGTTGACTAGGCTGGTCTCGAAGTCCTGTCCTCAAGTGATCTGCCCACCGTGGCCTCCCAAAGTGCTGGCATTACAGGCCTTAGGCATCCCGCCTGGCCATTACTTTGAAACATTATTTCTAAAATAACTGCTTTCCAAAATAACTGTACTTCACTAGGCATGAATGTCCCTTATGTAGAACCATTGTCATGCAAAATTATGGAGTATTGATGGGAAGAACGGACTTTCCAAATTTAATAAGTAAATAGTGATTTAGGCCAGGCGTGGTGGCTCATGCCTATCATCCCAGCACTTTGGGAAGTTGAGGAGGGTGGATCACCTGAGGTCAGGAGTTCAAGACCAGCCTGACCAACATGGTGAAACCCTGTCTCTACTAAAAATACAAAAAATTAGCTGGGTGTGGTGGTGGGCACCTGTAATTCCAGCTACTCGGGAGGCTGAGACAGGAGAATCACTTGAACCCAGGAGGCAGAGGTTGTAGTGAGCCGAGATCATGCCTCTGTACTCCAGCCTGGGTGACAAGAGTAAAACTCCATTTCAAAATAAATAAATAAAATAAATAAATAACGATTTAGGCTAATTTAAGAAACAATGGCCTATAATGATATACAAATTGGTAACTTTTAATTTGCATTTGTTTAATTACCAGTAAGGTGGAACACTTTTCTATACATTTATTCACTTTTACAAATTGACCATTCATGTCAACTGAGGTCTTAGAAATTTGCGTGATTTTCTTGCCTTACAATTTATTTGATCTGCAGAATCCAAAACTTTTTAAGGTAATCAAAGTTTTTTCCCTAAGGCTTAAGAAGCCCTTCTTGCACCAGGTTTGATTCATTATATAATGTTTTCTGGTTTTTCCTATGGCCGAACCAGCAGAATTTTTATTGGTGTGTGATAAATGGAAGAAGGGAAGAAAATGGAAGTGCCTTTTCCACTGTTGGGATCAACCTCATGCAAGTGGTAGGGATAGGCTGCTTGTTAGGCAGCAAGTAGCCAGGACCAGAGCCATGGCAAAGGACCCAAATACACTTTTGACCAACTCTACGAGGCTTCATGTTCTGCTAAATCTGATCATCCACAGCCTCAGAATTCCTTTGGCCTACAGCTGCCAAACCACATTCCTTCAGTGGTCAAGTTTTCCCTCTATTTCACTCCTTTTATTTTATATAAATGCATCTCAAGTAATGATTTAAGAGTTTCAGTTTAAAATCCCCAGAGCCTCTGCCTACAGTTTTAGGATTCATGCTGTGGAATGAGGAGCAACTTAGGAAAAAATTATCTGAAGAGGTCGGAGAGAGAGCTTTTCTGTTTCACTATCGTTTGTATATTTGGTCCAGACTCTTTTCTATGGCAGTAAATCTAGACTCTAAACCAGGTAATAGAATAGAAATCCTGCCTTTCTTTACTGCTCTCATATTCAAGCTCAGGTGTTAAATAACCTGGGCCCTGTTTCTCTAAAGATAATTCTTACATAACTCCAGATTTTTATTTTTCCTATTTTCAAACAAATCTAAAACATTTCTCAACAACATTTTAGCCTAAAGCAATTATAAAACCTGATTTAAATTTTTCAACAATTTTTACCTTGAGAGTTAAATACAACTGTGCCATCTGAAAGCAGTGATGTGCTTTTGTACTTATGTTTATTTTTCATTTTTTTCCTTTTTTAACATAGAAACCCTAATAGAGTTTTTAAGATGATAAAGAGCATACCTTTTCTTTTTCTTCAACGGGAAAGTCTGTAAACGTAATGGTGAATCATGATTTTAAAAGAATGTTTATGCCACTAAAATCACACCTAACAGTTGATCTATTAATGTAAAATACAACGCTACTTTTGTTACTCAATAGAACTGGAAAAACATTTGGAAATGAAATGATTAATGAGATGAGTAAATTTTTAATTTAAACATTACAAAGATCAAATGATGCTTATCCACCTCCCGATTAGTCTGCAATTTCATTGTAATTATAATTCATCTTCATGTGTCAATTTGAGTTAAAAATCATATAAGTTGGATTCCTTTCTAAGATGTACTTCATCCTCCTCATTTGATCACTTTAAAAAGTAGCCTATGCCTCATTTTATGAAAGCCTATATAAAAGCATCCAAACCATAAAATAAGGAAATCAAAGGAGGACTTAGTTTTTATGGTTGGCATGGTTCTTTTAAATGACATATTCCTTAATCCATTTAAACATAATTTAGGTTAACTTCTGGAAACTTTAGTATGTATCAATCAATAAATTATATAAGATACTTAAAAACTCTAAGCTATCTGATCATATATGCCAAAAAACAGCATTTTCTAATTATCTATCTCATTGCAGGACCCACTCTTTTACATTACTGGTATTATTTAGCAAGTGCTTACTCTGTTAGAGCACCCAAGATACAATTATAAATAAAACACCACATTTTAAAAATGTAAGGCTGGGCACGGTGGCTCACGCCTGTAATCCCAGCACTTCCGGAGGCCAAGGATCACCTGAGGTTAGGAGTTCGAGACTAGCCTGGCCAACATGGTGAAACCTCGTCTCTACTAAAAATACAAAAATTAGCCAGGTGTGGTGGCAGATGCCTGTAATCCCAGCTACTCGTAAGGCTGAGGCAGGAGAATTGTTTGAACCCAGGAGGCAGAAGTTACGGTGAGCCAAGATCACACCACTGCACTCCACTCCAGCCTGGGCAACAGAGTGAGAGACTGTCTCAAAAAAAAAAAAAAAAAAAAAAGTAATTTAACTTGAAAACTAACTACAACTGTTTCTAAAAACTTACAAAATTACCAAACAATTCTAGCAGAAATTCAAAATAGACCATGTCTATATTGGATGGAAAAAATTGGATTTTTCTTTAAATACATAAATATTTAAACTATATTATACAACTTTATTACAAAATGTCTATCACAAATCTATTTTGAAGAATATTTTGAAGAATATGATCACATTTAGCTAAAGCTATTAGGATTATCAGTTATGTTATTTCTAAAAGGAATTCTGTTATATTTCCAGGTAAAATGTCAATTGCATCAGAAGATAAGGAAGATGTCTCAGGAAATCCTTTACTTCTGGTTTCTCATGTCAGACCAATGGAACTAGGTATAGTATAATGGGTGGGACAGAATGAAACTGATCTAATTTCAAACTAGAAGATAAGACTGGTTTCTAATCTGAGAAAACTGACAATTTTTCCTGGAAGAAACACTTAGAATTAATTTATGTTTTCCTCCCTTTTTGCCAACCCATACTGAAAAAAATTATTTCTAAAGCAAATGATTTCTTTACCAAATTTAAGTTTCCTAGAAATACAGGTTCTCTAATTTCCAAACTTTACTCTTTAAATGTAAGAAATCTGATGGCTAGACTTACACATAGTAATGCACATGATCACTTTAGTGGCAAGGGATTAAGACAAACAGAATTTTACGTTTGAAAGTAAACATCAGAGCCACAACCAGGTCAAGGATTCAGTGTAAATCCTTCTTTGCTTCTATTTTTCTTTTCTTTTTTCTTTTTTTTGGAGACCAAGTCTCACTCTGTTGCCCAGGCTGGAATGCACTGTCATGATCCCAGCTCACTGCAACCTCTGCCTCTGGTTCAGGTGATTCTCCTACCTCAGCCTCCCGAGTAGTTGGGATTACAGGCGCGTACCACCACGCCCAGCTAATTTTGTATATTTAGTAGAGACGGGGTTTCACCATGTTAGCCAGGCTGATCTAGAATTCCCAACCTTTGGTGATCCACTTGCCTAGGTCTCCCAAAGTGCTGGGATTACAGGCATGAGCCACCACACCCGGCCGCTTCTAATTTCTTATTGAAGCTAGAAGCAAAAACCTTACTTCTAACTTAAATGATAGAAAAACCTATTTGTAACCCAAATAAGAAAAAAAATTCTGAAAAGCATTTCAAAGCAAAGACATTAAATATACCACAAAATATCTCAAATAAATGCTATAAAGTTTTTTTCAATGACTTAAAACTCGTGAATCTGATAAAAGTTGTTAATTGTAATATCATTTGTATGATAGGGGCCAAAACCTAATCTCAATTAAATATTACTGAACCATTAATTTAATATTTAATTTTAAATTATGGCCAGGCACAGTGATTCACACCTGTAACCCCAGTACTTTGGAAGGCCAAGGTGGGGGATCACTTGAGACCAGGAGTTCAAGACTAGCCTGGGCAACAGAGAGAAACAACCCCCCCATGCCTAATAAATTATTAAAAATAGGCCAGGTGCAGTCAGTGGTTCATGCCTATAGTCCCAGCTACTTGTGAGGCTGAGGCAGGAAGGCTCACTTGAACCCAGGAGTTCAAGGCTGCAGTGAGTCATGACTGTGTTACTGCACTCGAGCCTGTGCAGCAGAGTCTAGGGAAAAAAAAATGAAAGAAACAAAATAAATTATGATTAATCTTGGGTATAATTTGAAGATATTTATTTATTTATTTATTTAGTTATGTTGAGACAGAGTCTCGCTCTGTCGCCAGGCTAGAGTGCAACGGTGAATCTCGGCTCACTGCTATCTCCGCCTCTCAGGTCCAAGCGATTCTCCTGCCTCAGCCCCACAGGCACGCACCACCACACCCAGCTAGTTTTTGTATTTTCAGTAAAGACAGGGTTTCACCACGTTGGCCAGGATGGTCTTGACCTCCTGACCTCGTGATCCACCTGCCTTGGCTGCCCAAAGTGCTGGGATTACAGGCGTGAGACACCGCACCCGGCTGAAGATTATTTTCAATGCAAACAAAATGTTAATGTCATGCACGGTAGCTTGTGCCTGTGATCCCAGCTACTCTGGAGGCTCACTTGAGCCTGGGAGGTTCAGACTGCAATGAGCGGTGATCTCTCCACTACACTCTAACCTTGGTGAAAGAAAATTGCTTTCTTTTTAAAAAATTTTATTTTATTTTATCTTATTTTGAGACGGTGTCTCACTCTTTCGCCCAGGCTGGAGTGCAGTGGTGTATTCTCAGCCTATTGCAACCTCCACCTCCTGGACTCAAGTAATCCTCCCACCTCAGCCTCCCAAGCACCTGGTACCACAGGCACATGCCACCACGCCTGGCTAATTTTTGCATTTTTTTGTAGAGACGGGTTTTGCCCTGTTGCCCAGGCTGGTCCCCAACTCCTGAGCTCAGGCAATCCACCTGCCTTGGTACCCCAAAGTGCTGGGATTACAGGCCTGAGCCACCATGCCCAGCCAAAAATTCCTTTCTTTAATAATATTACATCCAATTTGAAACCCTATCTCAAAAAAAAAAAAAACAACCAAAGTTAATGTGCTTGTAATTTTATAATTCAGAAAATGAACCTACTTCTTTTATGAAAATGAAATCTGAGAAAAGCACAAGATAATATGGTTGTCAAAATAACCAATACAAAGTCAGGTACCTGTCAGTAATGTAAATGAAGTATAAAACTGCTCTAGAGACCTAATACGCACCATGGCATATTAAAGGATTTATAACTAAGTGGAGACATACTGCCTAGGAACAAGGCATTATGAAATTTCTGACACACTTCCCTACCGTTGAAAGAAAATGCTTCGTTTAAAATGGCTTTAGTCTTTCTGCAATTTTCACAAGGCATAAACACTGATTGTTCCGTGTGACTCTTCCAAGCCCTCAGCTCATGAGTAGCCTCAGTTCTCAACTCTGACTACACATTAGATCACAATCTGGGGATGAAGGATGAGGCAGGTACCAGAGTGGTGGTTTTTAAATGCTTCCCAGTAGACTGATACATAGCCAAAGAAAATCACAAGATAAAGAAAGGAGTTAAATTCTTTGTACCTATCCTATTTCAAAACAAATTATCTACAATGAGTCATTTTTTTATATAATTACTGTTTTCTACAGTAAATGCTACACATTTAAATATCGAACTTCCACTATGTACTGATATACACCCTACATACTAAAGGAGTGATATGGAAGAGAAAAAAATGATATAGAGGGAAGATGATCAAAATGTGACTAAAAAGCCACAACTTTATTAAAGCCAGTAACTGGCATAATAATGGACAGCTTTAGGTTCTGAATTTGTTTCCCCACTGTTTAAGAGAAAAGCTAAGCTATGATTTGTTACTCCATCTCCTATGGAGGAAACTGCTTTCTTTAATAATGTTGCATCCAATTATTTACCTTGCCTGATGTATATAATGCATATGTCTTTTACCTCTCTACCTAATGCAGGTATCTCTACGTCAGTATTGGAACCCTCTAATAATACAACTTTTATCCCAACTGTAGCAAATGAAGGAGGAAAGCACTGGACTGTGACAGAAGTCAGGGCTCTAATAGACATCTGGTCTGATAAAAGCATACAACGACAACTAGAGGGAACAGTGAGAAATAAGAGGATATTTGAACAAATTGCGGCCAAGCTTCAGAAATTTGGAATAGAGAGAGACTGGAAACAATGCAGAACAAAGTACAAAAACCTAAAACATGAATACAAGATCGTAAGAACAGCTCAAGATCTAGGCATGACTAAGAGTATGAAATTTTTTACTGAGTTGGATGCTATTCTGGGACCCAATAAAACAGAAAAATCACGAGACCAGGAGTCCCAAGATGGAGAACATGTCACAGAATGTGCCAACGTAAAAATGGGAGAGGACCAGACAGGTAGGAAGGTGAAGAAAAATAATCTTAACATCATGTTACATCATACAGGTTCAAGGATCCCTTTTCCAAAATGCCTGGGATCAGAAGTGTTTTAGATTTAGACATTTTTTCAGATTTTAGAGTATTTGGATATACATCGTGAGGTATCTTAGAAAGGGGAGCCAAGTCCAAACGTGAAATTCACAAGTGTTTCATACATATAGCTTAAAGCTAATTTTATGCAGTATTTTTAATAATTTTATGCATGAAACAAAGTTTTGACTGTACCCATCACATGAGGTCAACTGTATAATTTTCCACAGGTAGCATCATGTTGGTGCTCAAAAAGTTTCAGATTTTGTAGCATTTCAGATTTCATATGAGGGATGCTCACCCTGTATTGAAAATGTTCAGTACCATAAGAGGAATGTTATATACGTAAGTTAAATAGGTTTCATTACATGCTATTTGACAAACTAGCTGAATTTATTATGAAACAGATTTAGTATACATTTGATCGTCCCCAGAATAGAAACAGTACAGTTATACAAAAAGGAGGAAATAAAACTGGATTCCCAGAATAAAGTTTAAAATAGATCAATTTTAATAAAGCAAATATGCAACCCCAGATGGCAGAAGTTAAAGTAAATTTTCATACTAATTGTGGTAAAACTGAGTAAAATAGAAAAAGGGCATTCAAGAACTTAGAAAAATATAAAATACATGAGACTTTCTTAGAAGTAGTACATTTCTCTGGGACCCATCATAAATGTCTTTAAAGTATATTTAAACCAAAGGATTGAGATGCAGTACATACACACAAAGACATGATAGCATGAAATAAACTGAATGAGTTCTAGACCAGGATTCAGGAAGTCAAAGTTCTAAGGCTCTGTGGAACCTTGAAGTAACCAAGTGTCTCCTCTAGACCAGGGGTCCCCAACACCTGGACCCTTACTGGTCCGTGGCCTGTTACGAACTGGGTTGCACAGCAGGAGATGAGTGGTGGGTGAGTCAAGTTTCTTCTGTATTTACAGACACTCCCCATCATGCACATTACGACCTGAGCTCCACCTCCTGTCAGATCAATGGCAACATTAGACTCTCACATTAGATTAGAATACTGGTGCAAGAAGACTGTTGTGAACTGTGCAGGCAAGGGATCTAGGTTGTGTGCTCCTCATGAGAATCTAATGCCTGATGATCTGTCACTGTCTCCCATCACTCCCAGACGGGACCATCTAGTTGCAGGAAAACAAGCTCAGGGCTCCCACTGATTCTAGATTATGGTGAGTTGTTTAATTATTTCATTATATATTACAGTGTAATAATAATAGAAATAGAGTGTACAATAAATGTAATGCACTTGAATCATCCCAAAACCATGGCCCCCTCACCCTCAGTCCATGGAAAAATTGTCTCCCATGAAACCAGTCCCTGGTGCCAAAAGGTTGCAGACTGCTGCTCTAGACCTAACTCCAGAATTGGGGGGTGTGGACAAGATGGTCTTAAAGACCTCTACTAACCACAGTGTCTCCAGATTTTATTATCTGGCTTAAATGATGAGTCCCAATTCTAAGATAGTCTGTATCTAGGGAAGAGAGGGGAACAATAGACAGTTAAGACTGGGAATGCTGGTGAGAAATCTCAAAATATTTCACTGGTGGACAAGAAAGAAACTGGTATGCTAGAGAACTATACATATCCCCCAGTTAGATGACTACAGATAAAGCAGCCCAATAGCAGTGGCATCATATCTTCATACAGTCAATGCTGGAGATGCAGCTAAAGATGATTCCATTATTTATGTCAGAAGACCTAGTTAGAGACTCAGATCCATACCCAATATCTATAATGACAAAAAGGGTAGGGAATCTAACCTTTGGAAAAGCAAATAATCATATTTACTACTAGGGTCCCTTTAAAAAGGAAAATACTATATTAAAGTTTAAAACACAATTCTGGGCCAAGCGTTGTGGCTCATGCCTATAATCACAGCACTTTGGGAAGCCGGGGTAGGTGGATCACTTGAAGCCAGGAGTTTGAGACCAGCCTCACCAACATGGCGAAACCCCATCTCTACAAAAAAAATACACAAAAAATTAGCTAGGCCTGGTGGCACATGCCTGTAATCCCAGCTACTTAGGAGGCTGAGGCATGAGAATCCTTGGAACCTGGGAGGCAGAGGTTGCGGTAAGCCGAGATCGCACCACTGAACTACAGCCTGGGCAACAGAGTGAGACTCTGTCTCAAAAACAAACAAATAATCTAAATAAATAAAACACGATTCTGAAGTGAACTTAAAAAGTCAATATATATCCCCTTATGTTCATACAGTCATTGCTGGATATGTAGCTGAAGGTGATTTGGTCAGTAATAAGTCAGAAGGCATAGGAGATACAGATATAAAACAAGGTCTTGACACAGGTAAAAAAATATTCAGGTGTTTTTGTTTTGTTTTGTTTTGTTTTTGGTGTGTGACAAAGTATATACATAAAATGCTATTATAAGACACTGTTATGGCCTGAACTGTGTTCCTCCCACCAATGTTCATATATTGAAGCCTTAAACCCCAATGTGATGTATTTGGAGACAGGGCCTTTGAATGATAACTAGCATCATGAGAGTGGTGCCCTCATAATGGGTTTTAGATTTTCTATCAATATATTAATAGATGCTACCATACCTAAGAAATTATGTTATAACATTGTATGAGGTACTGTTGGATCATAACTCAAAACACATAAATGGAAGGTGGAAATAATATTCCCCATGGCTGTTTTTCTCCAAGTATAGCAGCATCAGCATTAACTGAGAACTTACTCAAAATGCAAATTATTGGGTCCCATCCAGAATCAGAAACTCTAGTATTGGGGCCTAGCAATCTGTTTTAACAAGTCTTCCAGGTGATAATGATGCAAGCAAGTTTCAGAATCATTACCCTCTAGTATAGGGCATTAAGGGTGTGGAGGTGAAATTTCGTGCTTGCTACCTGATAGTTTGCTGCTTCTACACAAACCAAAATTGGGGAGGAGGAGATCACCAAGCCCCGAAGCTGAAGCTTATCTGTTAAAAAGACCTTGTACCTAGTCTTTCAGTCCAAAGCTTCATATAACCTTACAAAGTATAAAGCCCAATGTTAATTTAACAAACTAGTTAATCAAATTTCCTATACTCCTGGCCAACTTATTTATCTGGTTTATCATATAGGACAGCGTCTTAGGTTTCCATTGGCATCACAGCAATGGCCTTTGTCATTAAGAGTTAAAAATCAAATTACGCCAGGTGCAGTGGCACATGCCTATAATCCCGGCTTCTTGGGATGCTAAGATTGAAGCATCACTTGAGCCCAGGAGTTTGAATCCAGCCTGGGCAACACAGCAAGAACCCATCTCTAAAAATAAAAAATAAAAATTTAAAAAAGAAGAAAATCAGACTACTGCATTGTTTAATAAGGAAAAAGGATTTCCATCTAAAAAGTTAAGAGCTTTAGTATTCAGAAGATTTTAGCTTGTTAGTCCTTTGGAAAACTTACTTAAGCACAACCTCAAGATACTTTTTTACATGTAAAAGGAAAAGATTAAGTCAGAAATATGAGTTTTTTTGTTGTTGCTGTTTGGCATGTTTGCATGCCAAATATGAAATATTTGGAATATATTTAGAAAATATGAAACAGGACAAATGCATAGTCATTCTAGAAATTATATTAAACTGTTACATGAAAATACAAAGCAAAGATATAAACCTACAAGGATCTCAGCAGCTAAATACATAAGAAAAAAACTAAAACAGGCAAGGATTTTAGGTACACCTGCAATACATACCAACTGATTCACAAATTGCCACTCTGTTCTTAGGAAGAATGTAGTAGAATGTAGTATTGAGGTATAAAAATATGGATTATTTATCTTCAAGGAAAAAATTCACATGAAGTAGTCTTTCTTTAAAAAAACAACAAAGTGATGGACATTTACATGTAAAAACAGAGGTCACCTCATTTTTATTTTTTATGTTTCACTGATGAATTTCTGAAATTAGAATTGTTATTATTAATAATAACTCCATATTGTTAACTTTGATATCTGGCCAAAAAACCGGTTCCCCAAAAGTATTCTCTTTCCTATCTCAAATGTATGCTATAAGCTATAAGCTTTTCCTTACTTCAAATGAAAATCTAGCTAGAGCTGTAGACCCCTTGGATTCTGAGTATCTAGATCAGTTCCCTATTTGGAACTTCTGAAGATTTTGATCTAGTAGGTTGGAGTCAGTTCAGGCACCCGTATTTTTAGATGATTCTCAAGCATAGCCAGCACTGGAAACCATAGCTAGGTTATCATGCTCAGATCAGCAGAGGACTGATTCACACAGAAGTTTCCATTTGATTCCATTCAGGGAAGAAAAATCCGCTAATGCCAATAGAGTATCACTTAAAAATTAATGACTAATGGAATACGAAGGAAATTAATCACAGGGAAGAATCATAGACTGCTCAGGCTATCCCTATTACATTAAGTAAAAAGAAGTGATCCGTGAAAATTGAATTAACTAGATCTCTGGATCTAAAACATATTTTATTTTTCTCCCTGGTCTGAAGCATAAGCGAGAGAGGATAAAAGGAATCAAGACGTTATCAAAGGAGAAAGGACTCTGCCAAAAGAGAAAATTTGTGTTTGACAATCTTATCACCTACCTGTCTCCTCTGAGTAGGACAAAATTGACTTAATTCAGGTCCAATATCAGCTGCCATTTATATGAGCTGGAATGCCTTACTATCTATGTATTCCTGAAAGCCACTGCTTTCTCGTATAGGACAGTCACAGTTAAACCTATTTTAGGCCAGAGGGGGTGGAGTCAGGCATACTTAAATAAGCATAGAAATTCCATGGTAGTAAAATATATCCTATTAGATAAGGTCACGCTGATCTTCAGCCTAAAAATCACAAGTGAAATACCTCAATGTTCATCTAAGAATAACCCTAGAAATGCCCATTTTTCTTTTGGTTGTAGCAAAACATATTTCCAAAATTCAAAAAAATTCACAAGGAGATGGCCAGCAGGGGGCATTCAGGAATCTATTGTTACCATCTCAAAGGGTTTGCTAAGAATTATGTTTTCTTCTAATTCATTTCTCTCTCCCAAAAGAAAGAAATTGGAAGTAATTTTCCTTAAACCTGGAATATTTAAACACTTTTGTATATTTTACATGCATTATAATTTGTATAATCTTAGCAGTAACATTATTACATAAATTAATGCACTTTAGTCAGATGAGACACGATATTACTGAGAACTTTTCATTTTAATCCAATAGTACATCCAGATAGAGAAGAACTGATTACTAAAAGTTCAGAAAACCCAAGACTTATAAATGTGAAAAAAGAAAGTTCAGACATAGGTATGCTGCTAATCTTAAATACAGGCAACTTGTTAATTATGAAGGTATTATTTTTCTAATTTGTACTGTTGGTAATATTTTAATAAACTTTTAAGAAGCTGTGGCATAATAAAAAATATATCTAGTTTTGGTCTCCCGTTCCTGTCACAAAGCATCAACAGCCTTTGGAATTTCCAGAGACAGAAGCATCTATGTTATGTTAATGAGGCTACTCTAGGTGGGTTCCCAGATAGCTTCAGGATGGCAGGTAGTCACCGAAAAAGACAATCATATGATGAGGGTTGGAGCTTTGTGCCAGTGTGACTTCCAGGGAGGAGAGTGGGGCTGGAGGTTGAGTTCAATCTTGTAGCCAATGACTTAATCAATCACATCATAAAAACTCGGGCTCAGAAGATTTGGAAGCTCAGTACAATGCAGTTCATGTTTCCTTAGTTCCTCTATAACTTCCCACAGACATCACTGCATTAACCTCTACACTTGACCTGTCTTTACTTTTCTATTCTCAAACCTCAGCAACTTTTCTTTTTTGAGATGTAATTTACATACAATCAAATTCACCCAATTAAAGCACATAACTGTGGTTTTTAGTATATCCACAGTTATACAATAATCACCAGTATCCCATTTTAGAACATTTTGATCACCCCACAAAGAAACCCCGTATCTGTGGGGCGCAGTGGCTCATGCTTGTAATCCCAGCACTTTGGGAGGCCAAGGCGGGCAAATCACGAGGTCAAGAGATCAAGACCATCCTGGCCAACATGGTGAAACTCCATCTCTACTAAAAATACAAAAATTAGCTGAGCGTGGTGGCGCACGCCTATAGTCTCAGCTACTCAGGAGGCTGAGGCAGGAGAATCGCTTGAACCCGGGAGGCGGAGGTTGCAGTGAGCCGAGGTCACGCCACTACACTACAGCCTGGGTGACGGAGCAAGACTCTATCTCGGGAAAGGAAAAAAAAAAAAAGAAATCCCATATCCATTAGTAGTTTAACTGCTTGACCACACCTCTGTAACCCCTGGCAACCACTAACCTACTTTCTGTTTCTATGGATTTGCCTGTTCTGGACATCAGTGGTACCTTCCAATATACATTTTTGTGTCTGGTTTCTTTTGTTTCATGGTTCATCCATGTTGTAGCATGTATCAGTATTTCATTCCTTTTAATGGCTGAATAATATTCCAATTTACGGATATACCATATTTTGTTTTCCCATCCATCACTTGACAGATATTTGGGTCACTGCCATTTTCTGGCTCCTATGAACACTGTTGCTATGAATATCCTGGTACAATTTTTTTCCCATTTTGGTAGAGTATACATAAAATTTACCATTATACCCATAAGTACATTCACGTTGTTGCACAAACATCACCATTCTCCATCTCCTGAACTTTTTCATCATTCAAAACTGAAACTTCTGTAGCCATTAAACAATAACTCCTCCATCCCAACTCTTCTTAGCCTGTGGTGACCACTATTCTCCTTTCCATCTTTGTGAATTTGACTATTCTAGGTACCTCATGTAAGTGGAATCATACAATATTCGTCCATTTGTGCCTGGCTTATTTCACTGGTAATATCTTCAGGGCTCCTCCATGTTGTAGCATTTATCAGAATTTCCTTCATTTTAATATTGCATTGTATGGATACACCATTTTGTTTATTAATCCATCGATGGTCATCTGGGTTGTTTCTGCCTTTTGGCTATTATCAATAACACTGCTATGAATGTGGATGCATAAATATCTGCTTGAGTCCCTGCTTCCAATTCTTTTGGGTATATACCCAGAAGTGAAATTGCTGATCATATGGTAATTTATGCTTAATTTTTTTAGGACCTGCCATACTGTTTTTCCGCAGTAGATACATGTTTTTATGTGAACATGTTTTCAATTCTTCTGGGTTTATACGTAGGAGTGGAATTGCTTGGTCATATGGCATATGCTGAAAGTTTCTGAGGAACTACCTGTTTCCCACCATGACTTCATCATTTTACATTTCTATCACCGTCTTTTAAAAATTATATCCAACAAGAGTGATTTAAACACATTTTCAAATTTCCATGAGGCACTAGGCATGGTGGTGTGCACCTGTAGTCCCAGCTAATTGGGAGGCTGAGGCAGGAGGATCACTTGAGCCCAGGAGGTCCACAGCAGCCTCAGCAACATAGTGAGAGCCTGTCTCTTAAAAAAAAAAGAAAATTCATAAGGCTGAAAAAGTATTCAGGATTAAAACCTAAGAGAATTGAAGATGAGAGGAACTCACTGTTGGAAAGTACCGTGGAGTATACCCTCCCCCTGCCACCCTCCTCTGCACATCATTACCCCAAAATAACACTGGGTCCACTGCAGGGTCTAAATTGGTAAATTTTAAATGTCATTTTGATATATGAAGTCTAATAGAGAATATCTCTATTGTGTATTACCTAAAATGCTCCCACATACTTGAGTTGGTAGAGAACATGGTAGAGAAAGAAGGAAAATGTCAATGCCCACTTCTCACTAAAAGAAATTAAGTAAACATTGGGAATTTCCATATTCATAAATATCCAATGAAGATCACCTATGATGAAAAGCAGCTAAATTATCCTCACTAATAATGGAGAACAGTCTGTCTTATAATTTTTAGAATATACTGTTTGAATATGGACACAAAATTTCTTTTGACTCATATTGAAGTTATTATTGTATTCTTGGTGCTTTATGCCATCACAGTTGCTTTAAATGAATGATAATCAAATACAAGACTTATCTATGTTTGAATAATTATAAATCATGTTGATTTGTAGGTAATCCTTTAGAAGATGCTAAAAGTCATTTACAGATTGTAACAGTGAGTGACACAGAGGCTGGAAAATACTGGTGTGACAGTGAGGTCAGAGCATTGATACAAATATGGTCTGATGAAAAAATTAAGCGAATGCTTGAAGGGGTCACAAGAAACAAGAAAATATTTGAGGAAATTGTCAGAAGATTAATGCAATTTGGGATAGACAGAGACTGGAAACAATGTAGTACCAAATATAAAAAGTTAAAATATGAATATAGCATTTTACAAAGAAAAAATGGCAACCCTCCAAGAAAAATGAGATTTTTTTTTTTTTTTGAGACGGAGTCTTGCTCTGTCGCCCAGGCTGGAGTTCAGTGGCGCAATCTCGGCTCACTGCAAGCTCCGCCCTCGGGTTCATGCCATTCTCCTGCCTCAGCCTCCCAAGTAGCTGGGACTACAGGCGCCCGCCACCATGCCCGGCTAATTTTTTTGTATTTTTAGTAGAGACAGGGTTTCACCATGTTAGCCAGGATGGTCTTGATCTCCTGACCTCGTGATCCACCCGTCTGGGCCTCCCAAAGTGCTGGGGGATTACAGGCGTGAGCTACCGCGCCCGGTCAGAAAAATGAGATTTTATGAAGAGGTTGACTGCATCCTAAGAAAACCAACTCTCAGAACTGCCAAATGGAAACATGGTAACCTTCGAATTGACATTAACCAAAAAAAAAAAAATTCTAGACATTCTTCTTTGCACTTTCATTCAGCAAGAGAAAAACTCTAAAAATAAAATCCTAACACTATCGTATCCTCAAATGACCCTTTAAAATCATTAGAAATAGGTACCTAATTTAAGCCAAGAGTTTCAACTTTTTTCTAAACCTTATACCAAAATATTCCTAATTCTTAACTCATTATTTGTGCAACTGCTTAAGTGTTCTTATTTTAGTATACTTGAATACTTGAAAACTAATGTGTTTCAAATGATGTCATATAATGATTTTTTTCCTGTGTTTTTATTTAAGAATTATTTGAAGGTCATAACAAAAGCCAAGGAACTTTGAGCTTCAAGAGAAAAGCACATGAAGATGGTAAGAGCCAGAGAAATGCCAAATTCTTCCACACAGTGAAAAAACTTGTTGCTTTTTCCTGATAACAGAGATATTTATTCCTGTCCTTGATAAATTAGACTAAACATATTGTTTATGAACTGTATTAGTGCAGAGAATGCTGAGAAATAATTTCTTTCATAGCTCATTGAGTGAAAGTTTCTGCAGGAGCTAGATTTTATATTTTAAAAAAAGAAGAAAGAAAAAAGAGTGAGAGTAACACCATAAGTAAACAAAAACTTGCCCGGAGTTAGATAACTATTTGGTTATCATGTTCCTTTAAATTGTACTTTACAGTGATTGTTACAATTATTGTTATCAGATGTAAAAAGAAAAAAATCCACAGTTCTTCAAAGGTAGTCAATAATCAATACAACATTTTAATAAGCCTGAAAGTAAGTCAAACTCAGAAGCCAACCTAATAATGGGAGCTGTAATTCCAAAATGACCCACCACAGATATCAGAAAAGAAAATATAATGCAATATAGCATGTAGAAGAAAATGCCCACAAGACTAATAAGAAAACCTGAGTTCCAGTCTCTCTTTGACCCTAATTCCTCAACACAGAGCAAATCACTGCATCTCTCTGGATCTCTAAAATAATCCAGCTTTAATGTCTTATAGATTTATGATTTATGAAATTGTTTTTTAGTTAACACAAAAAATTGAAGAGTAAAACAAAATTTTACAAAGTAAACACACCAAACCCACCATTCAGGACATAAAACTAACTAGCACCTTAAAAGCCTCCCAGTCATTAATCATCCTCCAGCCCCCATAAACATTATCATTATTCTCACTTCTATCACCATAGATTAGTTTGGGATTTATACTATATGTACTTTTCTTTCATTCAACATTGTGAGATTCACCCATGATTTTACTCATAACAGTAATCTGTTATTTTTTATTGCTGTAGAACAGTCCATTATAAAAATATACAAGCCAGCCAGGTGCAGTGGCTCAGGTCTATAATCCCAGCACTTTGGGAGGCCAAGACAAGAGGATCACTTGAACCCAGGAGTTCAAGACCAGTCTGGGCAACATAGTGAAACCCCCATCTCGATATTTAATAAATAAATAAACGTACATCCCATTTCTTTTTCAAATCTATTTCACTGTTGGACATTTCAGTTGTTTCCAGATTGGGGCTTTTATGAAAAATTGCACGTCTCTCAAAGGACATATATGTATGCATTTCTGTTGAGTATATACCCAGAAGAGAAAGGCAGGGTCATAGGGCATACATATATCCAAGCAGTGTTCTAAGCACTTTACATATATTTAACATATTTAGTCCCAATCACAATCCTATAAGGTAGATACTATCATTATACCCAACTTATAGATGAGGAAATGGAGGCATAGAGAAGTCTAAGCTCTTGAACCAATGAGGTCTCTCTGCCAGGGCAGGGACCACATCTGCCCTGTATGGTAAAGTATTCCCAGTGTCTACCATAGTGCCTTAGTAATGTACTTAGATGTACATTATTCCTATTTGTTGAGCTCCTGCTCAACAAATACATTTTGAATAAAGTATTAGCAAATAGCAAGAATTCCTCTTCCCCTTATAACCTTTTATCTCAAGTGAACTGAAAAGTGTACTTCTCCAAGTATGGATATAAATGCAAGTCAGATAAAATGCTTGTGCCGTTAACCCTTAGCAGTTTCTCCTTTCAGGTTAAACGGCTAAGGGTTAACCGCACAAGAGTATCATTCTGAACCCACTGAATTTGAGCATTAGACCTTACAGTATGTAAGTCTAAGCCAACAGATGAGGAAACAGACTCAGAAGTTAGGAGACTTGCCCAAGATTAAACTGGTGTTACTGGAAAACCTGGAGCTAGATTTCAGATTGTATGTTAAGGAGCTCTTCCCAATATTGACCAGAATGACCAAGCAGTGGTACTTGGAGACTTTTGGGGGCAGGTAAATTCTGCTTCAGACTAATGCAAAAAGCTAAGTTTTAAAAAAACAATAGTTATAAATGGAAGAATTGAAAACACTTATTTTAAATCAAGAATCACTGAATTATAAAATAATTAAAATCAAAGACTGGAACCATTTGCAAGGACACTTAAGTCACTTCCTCAAACCAAAATTTACTTGACTTAGATAAAGGTTATAGATTAAGGGAGTATAAAAGTTAAACACTATAGAAATGTTACATATTTGGTCATTTTCAGTCAAATATGAAAATCAAAATTAAGATATTCCCTGCCTTAATTTGGCAGCCCAAAGTAAGTTCTCTGACAAGCAAATCCTGTGTTCTCCACAAAACTAAATGAAGATTAACTGGGAACTAGATCCATAGAAGTTTGACTGAGTGCATCTCTCATTCTCACAAGTGCCTTTCTAGTGGTAATGTTCTGTACTCTGTTTGCAGAACCAGTGTCTAAATCTCTTAAGAAAAGTGCTCCTGAGATCATTACAAATCAGTTTCCTCAAAGCATAATAACAGAACCAAAAGATGCTACAGAATGTTTCTGCAGACAGGAAACCCAACTTCATCAGGTAAATCTTATAAATTTTTAGAAGTAGTATGAAAATGTTTGTCATTGTAAGGTTCAATTCCTAACCTGGAGAATTGATAATTCACTGAAGGGAAGGGCATGGTTATCTCCTAACTAATCAAGGAAAGGCTAACTAGCTGATTCATGGGATAAATCTACAGATGTTTACTAATTCCTTTTATGAAATCTTCAAATATGTCCAGGCCATTCTAGTCTCCATAAAATGTGACTGTGTTTTAAAGATGAAAATGTTTATTCTAAGAAGGGGTGTCTGGTTTGTTCAGAACTCCGTAAGCTACTGAAATGATTTTTTCAGGACCAAACCAGCATTTGGTGATTATATGAATCAGGCATGAACATACCCATACACATGCACGCACAGTTTACAGCTAAGAGGACATTTGAAAATTCCCCTACAGAAAGCAGAGCTACGGAATAAGTCTGAAGATAGCGAGCACTACTAAAAAGGGGGGGAGTACATCTGGATGAACCCATCTGGGTTAAATATCCAGTGCATGACTGACTTAACTAATTGATACTCTATTTATTTTTATATGAAATGGGTAATATACCTTCCAGGTATTCTGTTAACCCCAGGACTAAATGTTTCCGATTAGATTATGCACAAGACAAAAAACTGAACCAAATACAAAGCAAAAGTTACAGAAATCTCACCTTCTAGATTCCATCTTCTTAAAGATAAGGTTGGCCAGGCATGGTGGCTCACACCTGTAATCTCAGCACTTTGGGAGGCTGAGGCGAGTGGATCACTTGAGGCCAGGAGTTCGAGACCAGCCTGGTCAATATGGTGAAACCCCATCTCTGCTAAAAATAGAAAAATTAGCTGAGTGTGGTGGCGGGCACCTGTAATCCCAGCTACTCGGGAGGCTGAGGTACGAGAATCGCTTGAACTTGAGAAATGGAGGTTGCAGTGAGCCCAGAACATACCACTGCACTCCAGCCTAGGTAACAGAGTGAGACTCTGTCTCAAAAAAAAAAAAAAAAAAAAAAAAAAAAACCAAACAAAAAAACAAGAAGATAATGTATAAGAAATAAATTCCTTCATCAAAAAGGAAAAAAACCCAATCAAACCTTTTTGCAGTTGTTTTAAAACCAGTGAGTGAATGAGGGTGAGAAAGTGAAAACAGCTTTCTGCAACAGACCACCACCTCTCAGGGTACAGTATATAGATACAAAAAACTAACTAAACTAAAAAAAAAAAAGTTAGGTCTTAGTTTTATTCTGGCCCTTATCTATCAGTTTAGAGCAGCAGATAACTGTATTTCCAAGACATAAGGCAGTGTCACTGTTCTTCCAGTCAGAATCAGTCCTCCCAAAGGATGAGCACTATAGCTCCTGCAAAATTTTAAATTGATTATGGGTGAGAACCAGCCCTCTTTGTGCACCTTAATGATTCTATGCCTACACAAGAGAAATTTTAAATTGTTTTTCAGTAATACACTTGTTCCTCAAAACCACATAATCACATAATTATTGCCCTTATCTGGTATTATTTAATCTTATAATTCTTTTACAGAAAAGCAACTATAGAAAACAGATATATGTAACCAGGAATCAAATTGTATTCATTAAAAAAACAAACAAACAAACAAAACCCCCACAAAAACCCATAACCATGAATACCAAGTATTTTCCTAAAATGGGTACTAAAACTCCAACTAGTGCTAATATGTAAGTTTTTTTAAAAAGTCTCTTTTTCTTCAGGCACACACTTAAAGGGAAGGAGAAAGGGGAATGAAAATTTCTTGGATAACTTTGGCAAAAAAGTAAATATAGTGAAGAACAGTTCATATATATTTTCTACAGACCACCAGGCAACCCTAAAGACCTCTAGATTCTCCCCCACCCCCATGACAGAGTATCCAAAATAACTTCTTTTTTTTTTGAGACGGAGTCTCGCTCTGTCGCCCAGGCTGGAGTGCAGTGGTGTGATCTTGGCTCTCTGGAACCTCCATCTCCCGGGTTCAAGCGATTCTCCTGCCTCAGCCTCCCGAGTAGCTAGGACTACAGACGTGCGCCACCACGCCCAGCTAATTTTTGTATTTTTAGTAGAGACGGGGTTTCACCATGTTGGCCAGGATGGTCTTGATCTCTTGACCTCGTGATCTGCTCACCTCAGACTCCCAAAGTGCTGGGATTACAGGCTTGAGCCACCGCGCCTGGCCATAACTTCTAAGAATGTTACAAACTAATGTGGCTCACAACTACCACATAATCAAGAGTTTACTTTCTCCTTGGATTATATAACTAATTTTCTCAATAATTTTTTTTTAAACAAGAAATCTATTATGGTCAACCCACAATTATCCAAGATTGGAGTTATGCAAGTTAAAAATATTCTTTTTGATGCTTCCCACATTCTCAGCTCTTTAGTAAACAAGGAATACACAAAATGTGAAACTGAAATTCAAGTATTTGGGACAATGAAAACAGCAAAAAGTACTTCTAGCTTAAGTTTGGTTGAGGGAAAGCTAATTATTTGGAATGCGTTTATACATGGTGCACCCATTTTGCTGTTAAGTGTTATTGCCAAGTTCCTTAACTGTAGTAGAAGTTGTTACTACTGTATTGCCTTATGGAAACTGTAATACTTTCAGTGAGAATATCAAACCTAGGTTTTTCTTATCCTAGTGTAATAATTTATATCAACTTCCAGTTAAGTCAGGTAGTAAGAAAAGGAAAGATCACCGAAGCAATTTTTTTTTTTTAACTCGAAGGGATCTCTCAATTTTTCAAAATCAAGTGTATGGATCTTGGCATAGAGACAATACTCCCCTGTCCCCCTTTTGAAGAAGGGAGTTAATTTTTGTCATATTACCAAGGTTTTCATTCATTACAAGACGTCTACCAACGAATCTTTTCCAGATGCATTATTCCCTATGGTTGGTTTATTTTCACTTAATTTATATGAGATCTACTACCGGTAGTTATTCTCAACATCAACTAGTCATCTTTCCCTGGGTCTGAAGTCTAGGATCCTCAAATTCCCAGAGCGATAACTACTTTCAAATCCATAATCTGCTCAATAGCTCTGCCCTTGCAAACAAAAGCTTGTGGTGGTTGGAGGCCCCGCGCGAAAACCTTTAGGTGTTCAAGGACCTGGACTGGCCGCCACGCCACACTAGCCTATTTACAGGAGCAACCACAGGCTCGGGGATACTAGAACCCGCATGCAGTCGGGGAGGAGCCCTGACCCAGCTAGACCAAGCAAACCGGCGCTTTACAAGCTGGCCAGCCTCTGGAGGGATGCACAGACCGGGGGCGGAGAAGCAGAAAGCCCCTAAAGGGCATGAGTGGCTGGGAGGGTGGGCAGGACAGGCTAAAGTTCATGGAAGCGAGGTGCCCCTCGTGCACGCCTAGGCAACCCGGTCGATGCCACAGGCAGGTACCGGTTCAGGTCGGAGAGGTCGGTCCTCCCAGCCCTCGGGTGCTCATGAGAACGCCTACTGAAGCGGCTCCGAGAGATGGAAACGCACGCCTCCGCCACCGCCACCCCCACCCTGTTGCTTACCGGTGCTGCAGCCCCACGAGTCCCAGAGTGATCACATGCGGCACATCCAGCTGCGTGGGCCACTCTCCTGAGGCGATGCACCCGAACACGCCACATTCCTCTCGGACCCCCAACTCCTCCAGCTCCATGTCGCCGCCGAAAGCACGTGGAGGGACCTGCCGCTGGGGCCAAGGTGTAAGCACCAACCAGCCGCCAGCTCAGCCCGTGGAGCTCACAAGCTCGCGCTCGCCTCAGGCGCTTCCTTCCCGAGGCTGGCCCCAACTACTGCGGCGGCGCGCGCTGTCCCTAGGTGGCGTGGCCAGCTCGGCCCTGCTCCGCCCCCTCCGAGCCCACCAACAAGCGAGGGCGGAGGGGCGGTCTCGCGGCTGAGGGGAGGGGTCACGGATGCTGTAGGGTGGAGCTAGTCTTCCCCTAAGAGCTCTCTGGAAAGCTGTATTTGCTGCACGTGGAAATCTCCGTTATTTGCCAGCACCCAACACTAGCGTAATGGGAATAACGGACTTAACGTCATTTCTCTTTCAGAGCATTTAGCCTTCATATTCCCTTCCCTACATGCTTCCCCCCAGGCCGTCACGACTTGGTATGCTCCAATCTCTGAGCCGCTCCCGCAGCGGAGAAGGGGCCTGGGTAAGCGAGCTTCCGCAGAGTAGGGAGGGGCTGCCAGTGCGCGCCACTTTTCGCCTATCCCGGCACTGCGCCAGCGCGGGGCGGCCCGGAGGCGGGGTCGCGTCGCTGCGCCTGCGCGGCGGGAAGCCAACGGGAAGATGTTTTGTCCCAGATCCACGTTTCGGTCTCCGCCAATACCCCTCCGGGTTAGGCCGGGGTCTGGGAGCTTGAAAAGAGTGGCTCTGGGTCGCGCGGCCCCGCCAGGGGGCGTGTCTGTGGGCCGCGCCTCCTTCCCCGCCCAGCGAAGCTCTCTGACCACCCCTCTTTTCTAGAGTTCTGCCTTGCTTCCCGGCGCGGTCGCAGTCCTCAGCCCACTCAGGATAATGGCGACAGCTGAGGGTGAGTAACAGGGTTCTGGGTCCTTAGCGGTCTTCCTGACCCCCAGGCCGTGAGCTCGCTGTGAGCTCGCGGCCACGGGCGGGCTGCGAAGCTCTGCCCGGCCTCCCTGCAGCCGCGCCTCTAGGCCGCCGTGCGGGCGCACACGTGGCCCAGGCGCTCCCGGGCCTCCCCGAACTTTACTGCCTCCGGGATGGGGAGAAGGAGCAAAGTAGAGGAGAACGAGAAATGACCAAGGGGTGGAAAGGCGCCTGGAAGCATTATTTATAATCAATAGCTGTTGCAAAATACAAGCAAATCAGTGTTGATTCGTCAAAACCTGAGTCTTGCTTTGTCCGTTAGGTTAATGACCTTTCTAAGATTAATAATCGAAACTTTTGAAAAACCTGTCTAGAAGCCGGACCCGGTGGCTCACGCCTGGAATCCCAGCACTTTGGGAGTCCGAGGCGGGCGGATCACCTGAGGTCAGGAGTACCAGACCAGCCTGGCCAACATGGCGAAACCCGGTCTCTTACTAAAAATACAAAAAAGTAGCCGGAGGTGGTGGCGCGCGCCTATAATCCCAGCCACTCTGGAGGCTGAGGTAGGAGAATCGCTAGAACCCGGAGGCGGAGGTTGCAGTGAGCCGAGATCGCGCTACTGCACTCCAGCCTGGGCGACAAAGCGAGACTCCGTCTCAAAAAAAAAAGAACCTGTCTAGGGTGTGTGTGTGTGTAAGTAGTCTTTGATGCAATGGTGTGTGTGTGTGTTTAGTCTTTGATGCCATGGATGTGTGTGTGTGTGTGCACGCGCGCGTGTTGAAGTAGTCTTTGATGCCACGGCAGCTTGGGTGTGTGTGTGTGCGCGCGCGCGTGTTCAAGCAGTCTTTGATGTCATGGGTGTGTATGTGTGTGCGCGCGCGCGCGCGCGTGTTGAAGTTGTCTGAGTCCATGATGGCTGGGGAGGGGGTTGTTTTTAAGTCGTCTTTGATGCCATGATGGCGTGCGTCCGTGTGTGTGTGTGTGTGTGTGTGTTCGTTCAAGTAGTCTTTGATGCCATGATGGCTTTGAAGAACTCCAAAACCTTTAGGCAAAAAAGTTACACTATCAGGAAAGATTGTTCTTGCTATTTATGCTGGAAAAAAACGTTGGTTTATTCCACACATCCAGTTGCTATATGTATAATGAGCCAAATTGCTTTTCTTGGCTGCTGGGTACATTCTTTTCCACATAGAAAGTAACTGTATTTAGATTTTAAAAAGATGTAGACTCAGGCCAGGCGCTGTGGCTCACGCCTGTAATCCCAGCATTTTAGGAGGCCGAGGCGGGCGGATCACGAGGTCAGGAGATCGAGACCATCCTGGCCAACATGGTGAAGCCTCGGCTCTACTAAAAATACAAAAATTAGCTGGACGTGGTGGCGTATCCTAGCTACTCGGGAGGCTGAGGCAGGAGAATCACTTACTTGAACAGGGGAGTCAGAGGTTGCAGTGAGCCAGAATCCCGCCGCTGCACTCCAGCCTGGCGACAGAAAGAGACTCCATCTCAAAACAAAAGAAAACAAAAAAAAACAACTGTAGACTCAGCAAAAAAGATTCAGATGATATGGAGTATCAACTCCCTAAACTCAAGGCATAGACCAGAATTTTTCTTGAAATCATGGTACCTCTAAACTGGCAAATCTCTAAAATCTTTGCTCTTCCACTTCTTTCCATTTGTGTACCGTTGGCAGGTTGATTTTTCTTAAATGTCACTTTTATGATCTCTAAAATGTCACTTTTATGATCTCTAAAAGGCAAAGTGTTACAATGACATCCCTAGAGATGTTAAATCCAGTCTGTCCAGTCTGAAATTCCTTTTCATTCAAATCCTGAATACTGTATCCTTTCTACCTCTGCAGCCTTAACTTTGACTTTTCTCTCCTGTGAATCCTTAGCTATGTTCCAGTCAGGTTAAATCACCAAAGTTTGTTTTTCATTATATACATTTTATTTATATTATTTTTCACAGAACATTGCTGGCTAACGGAAATATAATGTAAATTTGTCTTCTCATTTTAAAAACTAAAATAATAAAAAAACTGATGCAATGTATTTTTTTATATATATATATATTTTTATATATATATATATATATATATATATTTTGAGATGGAGTCTCGCTCTGTGTGGCCCAGGCTGGAGTACAGTGGCAAGATCTCAGCTCACTGCACCCTCCACTTCCCAGGTTCAAGTGATTCTCCTGCCTTGGCCCCCCAAGTAGCTGGAATTACAGGCATGCTCCACCATACCTGGCCAATTTTTTTTTTTTAATTTATTTTTTATTAGAGACAGGGTTTTGCCATGTTGGCTAGGCTGGTCTCAAACTCCTGACCTCAAGTGATCCGCCTTTCTTGGCCTCCCAAAGTGCTGGGATTACAGGCGTGAGCCCATTTTAATATATTTTATTTAGCTCTATATACACAAAATACATTTCAACATGGAGGCAAGATGAAAAATTGTTTAGATATTTTGCAATTTTTTATAACAAATGCAGTGTATATTTTAACAAATCACATCTCAACTTGTAATAGCCACATTTCTAGTGGCTGCCTTATTGGACAGCAGAGTCCTAGAATTTTCTTATCCTTTGTGTAAATTCTGTGCTTTCCCAGACTCTTAAATTTCAATTCCATGAATCATTTTTCAGTCCTCATCAATCTTTTCTGAATTCATCTGCAAATTTATAGCAATCATTTTGGCACTTGTGTATATCACGTATTGTTGTTTCTTGTGTTGTTTCTACCTATTAATTGAAATTCCTTCCCTATTTAATGGCTAAGTAATACAGATTCAACTAAATTAAGGCGAGGGGCATTAGATACAAACTTTGCCCGGGCTTACTGCATATTAATACACATAAATGTTAATTTCTTTATCTGATCTGGGTATTGTGTTTTTTGTTTTGTTTTTTGTTTTTGTTTTTTTCTTGAGACAGTCTCCCTCTGTTGCCTAGGCTGGAGTGCAGTGGCGCCATCTCAGCTCACTGCAACCTCCACCTCTCAGGTTCAAGGATTCTCCTGCCTCAGCCTCCCGAGTAGCAAGGATTACAGGTGCACACCACCACATCCAGCTAATTTTTGTATTTTTAGTAGAGACGGGGTTTTACCATGTTGGTCAGCCTAGTCTTGAACTCTTGACCTCAAGTGATCCGCCCACCTTGGCCTCCCGAAGTGCTGGGATTACAGGCATGAGCCACTGTGTCCGGCCCACTGTTCTTTACTCTTCCCTCTCTTATCCTCCATGCTGAATTCTCAAAGCTACTATCTTAAATATCTTGCATCTCTGCCCACTACTCTTCCCTTAGACCAAGACATTTCTTTTTCCTCCCCACTTTTTTTTTTTTTGGAGACAGGGTCTCACTCTATCACCCAGGCTTGAGTGAAATAGCACAGATCTTGGCCCACTGCAGCCTCGACCTCCCCAAGTAGCTGGGACTACAGGCACATACCACCATGCTGGGCTAATTTTTGTTTTTTTGGTAGAGATGGGGTTTTGCCATGTTGCCCGGGCTGGTCTTGAACTCCTGAGCTAAAGCAATCTGCCTGCCTGGGCTTTCTAAAGTGCTGAGATTACAGATGTGAACCACTGCACCTGGCCAGACGTTTCTTGTTCGAGTTACTGCAACAGCATCCTAACTGGTCTCCCAAGCTCTAGTTTTTGTTCACTCACCTCTTCCTCCCTTCATTGTCCATACAGAAGCCATAATGATCTTTCCAAATACCGTTTTGCTTCATCACTTAAAATCCTTATAGCTCTTCTTGGGTTAAAGTCTAAACTCAATCAGTATGGCTTGTGAAACCAGAAGGATGTGTAACAAAATGGAAGGGAAATTTTCCAGGCCTAGGAGAGAAGAGATTGTCAGAAGCCGTAGGAGGAAGGTTGTGTAAGAATTAAAGATGTTGGAGTTCTAGAGAGGAAATAGACAAATAAGAATTTGGAGCAGTAAGCCAGGACTGTATCTTAAAGGGACTTTTAAACCATGTTAATGAGTCTAGACGTTACCTTAGGGAGAATAGGGATTCATCCTCTAGATTAGGTGCCCTACAATGGCAACTGTTAACTAAATTATACCTACTTTGTTTAATGGTTATCTCCACTAGCTGGTGATGTGGCCCCTGTCCAACTCTTAAGTCTTGTCTCCTGCCATTCTTTTCTACAACTTAGCTGCAGCCCCCACCCCTTCCCCTGCCCAACAGCAATGTACATATACCCAGACCTCCAGCTCCAACCAGACTGAAGTTCTGCAATCCACTTTGACCACCTTGTATTTATTCATCAACACTACCTACCCTTTTCTCTCCTTTGGCTAAATTTTGATCATTCTTCAGATCTCAACCTGTCACTTTCTTGTAGACTTCCTTTTCTAATGTTTAGACTAGTCCCATAGTCTGTATTTATTACATTCTGTTATTATGATGTCTTACTTAATATCAGCTCCCCTCAGACTCAGGTCTCTTGAGAGCAGGAATTATTTACTGGTATATCCCTTGGCACATGGATACATTAGGAAAATGTTGATACTGAGAGTGTTCTGAGAGCATGAGGGCTGATTTCTCTCTTTGGAAATTTTAAGTTCCTAAACATCTATTATCTTTACTCTTTCTCTAAATCATCCTTTTGTGTACTTCTTAGGTCTTGTGACCAGCATCAAAATTGGATTCCTTTGTGCTCACTTCCTCACAATTTCTTACAACTGTTAGTGAAGAGAAAGGATTAATGGGGACAGGGATAGGATTAAGAAATAGAGAGGGATGCTTCCAAATGTGCTAACTTCAGTGGGATGTCATGCCTCCTCTTGAATATTAACTTGAAATCAAGAAACCCATCTGGCTGAATGTTCCCATTTTGCCTGCAAAAAAGCAAATATCAGCAAAAATCGCATGTTTTTTCCTGCAAGCTAGTTTAGATACTATATTGTGAGTGTGTCTGTGAAAATACTAGTATAGTTACATTACTTGAAATGTGTCTTAATTAATTTTAATTCTAGTTCAGTTCCGCCGTGAGAGGCAGGTTAATAACGGAAAGAGCACAGGATTTGATGTCAGAGGAGTTAGGATTTTATCTACCTCTTATATTTCCTAACTGCATGACCCTCAACCCTTTTGATTTCTGCTTTACTACTTTCTACAATTATTTATGTAATTAAAATTATTCACAAAATTGTGTGTATCAAATGTGATAATACAAGAAATACATTGTAGAGTATATGGTTTTATACAGACGATTTAATTTTTATTAATATTCCTTAATCACTGTATTATTTACAGATTCATTGTTCTAGGTGATTTAGTCTTCAGCATTCAGGAAATTTCTTTCTGAATTTTGATCTATTTCCATTTTATTTCCACAGTACTGAACATTGGTAAAAAATTGTATGAAGGTAAAACAAAAGAAGTCTACGAATTGTTAGACAGCCCAGGAAAAGTCCTCCTGCAGTCCAAGGACCAGATTACAGCAGGAAATGCAGCTAGAAAGAATCACCTGGAAGGAAAAGCTGCAATCTCAAATAAAATCACGAGTTGTATTTTTCAGTTGTTACAGGAAGCAGGTAAGCAGCTCTCTTAAAGCTCTCTCTCACCTTCTCTGGTGAGCATGTTGATGTCTTTCAAGTGAAGTTGGCATTAAGATGAACAACTTGTTTGCAGATGTTTCAAAAGCTAAGTGAATTTAAATCAAACCAAGAACTCTTAAACTTCACTCTTAACACCTTATTTGGTTTGGGATTATTAGTGTCATTGAATTAAAAGGAATCTTAACAAGTTTGCTGTAATCTTACATCTGGCACATGCACTCTCTATGCAGCTTACCTCTCCAAGGCCATCTTCACTTTAAGGAATTTGACTATGAAGGAAACCCATTTTAATGTTAAGCAGTTATAACAGATGAACTGAAATTTACTCCCTGTAATTCTATACAAATGGTCTTTGTTCTGCCTCTGGGAGATAATACAGAATTTCAAATTCCTCTTCCACTTGAAAGCCCTGAAAAGTAGTTGAAGACAGCAACCAAACCTTCTCCTCCTGCCATTCCCCAAGTGAGAGATTTGAACTAAAACCCCAGAGCACCCTTCTGTTCAAAAACTGATTGAAGGCTCTATTTTCAATAGAGAAATAGATTCAAAAGACCACAGGAAGATCAGAACATCGTGTGGTGGGTATTTGAAGCAAACGGAAGGTAATTAGGATAAAGGGGTTTCCTGGAGGGATTCAGTCAGTTGCTGGTTGGTCTGTAGTATACGAAATTTCAGCTAGGAAAAGATTTGAACTCTTTCCGCACAATGTAAATAGCCTCATTGCTTTGGATCATTCAACCTTTGAAGCCTTACCTATGAAATAAAAGCTTTTTCTTTCTCATGCTTGCCAGTTCTAATTTTATAATTTAATAACTTTCCTTTTAATTCCAATATTCCCAGTTGCCCTTTCATTTCTTAGAGTTTCTAGTAGCACTAATCTTTCTTAAATTCAAAAGGGAATTTAATGCTTTTGTTTTCAGTTAAGTTAGATGTAACTGCCTTACACAAAATAACAAGGTAATGTAATTTAAATACATTGTCAGTGCATTTCTGGAGTAGTTTTGTCTCTTCCAAAGTATCCTATTTCACAATTTTGGCTAATGTGAAAAAGATTTAATTGCAAACCTGGATTGTCATCTACATCATAAATCCCTCTATGCTGTGAAAGTAAGTATATTGCTATAAATTTAAAGGATCTTCCAGAGTTTCTAAGTCACAGAATCTAAGATTTTTATTTCAAGGTTTCTTGATTGGTAGCTTCCCAATGACTGAGGTAATTTCTAAAGAGAGCATCAAATTAATTTTAGGTTCCTTTTGCAATACAGATAAGTGTTCCATCTATTTATTTATTTTATTTATTTATTTATTTTGAATCAGAATCTTGCCTTGTTGTCCAGGCTGGAGTGCAGTGGCACAATCTTGGCTTACTGCAACCACCGTCTCCTGGGTTCAAGCGATTCCCATGCCTCAGCCTCCCAGGTAGCTGGGATTACAGTTATAGGTGCACGCCATCATACCCGGCTAATTTTTGTATTTTTAGTAGAGACAGGGTTTTACCATGTTGGCCAGGCTGGTCTTGAACTGCTGGCCTTAGATGATCCACCCGCCTTGGCCTCCCAAAGAGCTGGGATTATAGGTGTGAGCCACTGTACTCGACCTGTTCCATCGATTTTTTTTTTTGCTTCCCAAGTTTTAACTCTCTCCATTCACTTAAACATTTTTTAAAGTGCTTAACTCTTTAAAATGTTAGCAGTCAGAAGATTATTTTCTGTGTACCCTTGGTAGTTTCACATAGCTACAGGATTATATTAAGTAATGGAAGATAAAGCCTGACTTTTTATTTGCTTATTTAGTGTATTTTCTGAGTGTATTTACACTCATCCCATTATCCATTTCCAGAACTTTATAACAAGTATATTAGAGTGACTCAGTTGTGTTATGTTTGTCCAGGACTTTCTCTGTTTTAACTCTGAGAGTCTTGTGCTCAGGGGAACAGGGAAGGCTACCTAAATGAAATACTCCAATAATTATCTTTAAACTACTTTATTTGGCACTTAACATAGCTAAAACTTAATTGGTTCACAGAAAATGTTGAAAGATATTTTCCAGGTTTTATGTCTAGTACTGTGAAACTAAGTAAACCTGAATTTTTTAAAATTTCTAAACAGACTAGTTTTAGGGTACATATTAGGAATTCCATTAAACCTTATGTAATTTTTACTTGCTTAGTCATATAAATGCCTCATCTAGTTGGCCATCAGTGGTCTATTTAAAACTGTTGTTTACAACCAGAGTTATGTTCCAAATTAAGGTAGAAAGTAGAGGGGAAAGAGCATCGGGATGAGAATCAGAAAATCAGGATTCTACTTTTCTCGTTGTCACTCAGGAACAAACAGTAAAGGACTATATGAATAAGAAGTAATCTTTTTCCATGGAAATAGTATAACTGTGCCATAACTATGTTATACAATTTGTGGATTTGGTTTTATTACTTAAAAATTAAAATCTGGCCTTCTCAGTGATGATGAAATCCCAATTTCCTCGCAGAAATTCACTATAATTACATAAAGTGTGATAATAGTATATGAAGAACCATACTACAGTTGCTAAACCGCAGATGGGAATCTGGACCGATGTAAAAGAGGGACGGCCACAGGGACATATGTATTAGCTAGAATTAGTATTCTAGCTTATATATGTTCATTGTCATTCAGAGTGTGTAAGTGACATAAACATTTTTTAGTAACTTGAATGAGAGTTTTGAGTTTTGTAGACAACTAAGATAAACAATGGGAATTTTTTCTCACCATGCACAGTCATGGAATTTGCTTTCATATTTAGCAGTATTAGAAGCCATCATTGTGTCATCTAAACTGAGTCTCTTTTAGAAACTTTTAGGGTTTTTTTGTGCAGAGGTGATTACCGTAGCTTCATTATGTGCTTTTGGTTCTCTTTGGTATCTTTATGGTAACAATAGAATTGGATACTACTATGTCCAGCTTGGTAGACAAATGAGCAAATATATGACTAATGATTAACAGACCTAAGAGAGAAGAGCTCTTGAAGCCAACGATGTAGTTACTACCCCAAGTTGAGAATTGATTAAAGTCACCTGTCTATCCATGAGCCTGATCATTCATTAAAAGTTAAACAACAGCTTACATCTAATTTTTTTTTTAAAAAAAAAAGGTTAAAATGACAATTTTACTTACCCCTTTTCATTTTTTCCTTAGGGTTTCTGTTCATGCAACATACCACAATTCTTTCCCTTTTTCATTTGAATCTTATGAGTCAGATTTAAAGGGAAGGCAGAGGAAATAGTGTAGGGTTTGGACAGTGTGTTTCAAGTCCAGGCTCCATTACCAAATGGCTACATGACCTACTGTGTGAAATTACTTCTTTGAACCTCTGTTTTTTTCACTGTAAAATGTATAAATAATAATACCTACCTCAAGGCTGGGCGTGGTGGCTCACACCTGTAATCCCAGCACTTTGAGAGGCTGAGGTGGGTGGATCACGAGATCAGGAGTTCGAGACCAGCCTGACCAACATGATGAAACCCTGTCTCTACTAAAAATACAGAAATTAGCCAGGCGTGGTGGTGCATGCCTGTAATCCCAGCTACTCAGGAGGCTGAAGCAGGAGAATCTCTTGAACCCAGGAGCAGAGGTTGCAGTAAGCTGAGATCACGCCGCTGCACTCCAGCCTCGGTGACACTTTGTCTCAAAAAAAAAAAAAAACCTACCTCAAAATTTTATGCACAGTTAAATGAAACAACATATACAAAACACTTAGCACAGTGGAGGGTTTCCATAAATAGAAGCTCCCTTCATGTATGGATACACATATAACAGCAAAGATCCCCAATTCTTTCCTGATAATAAAAGTTAGACTAGAGGATTAGGTTGGGATTGGAAATAGTAATGCAGGCTGAAAATGAGCATTATCTCAAACCCATGTAGGTTTCCAGGAGTTATTTTAATTCATGTTAATGCTGTAGCATTACTTTGTACTGTGATGTAATAACACTTCCCAGAGAGGCAATATGGCAAAGTGGTTAAGTGGGTGACTCCTAGAGACAGGGTAGGTTGGAAATCCTGCTTTACCTAATACTAGCTGACATTACTGCTGTGTGTTAGTGTCCTTACCTGTTTTGTTGGGTTGATCTTAATAGTATCTTATGAAATGTTTGGAGAATTAAACAAAAAAGATGTATTTAAAATGATTAGAACAATATCTGCCATCAAATAGGCTCCTGATTTTTTTTTTAAAGAAAATTGTTATAAATACATAAAATTTACCAGTTTGACCATTTTTAAGTGTCCAATTCAGTGGCATTATGTGCATTCACAATGTTGTACACTCATCCCATTATCCACTTCCAGAACTTTTTCATCATCCCAAACAAACTGTGTAGCATTAAACAATAACTATTCCTTCCACTCCTCAGCCCTTGGTAACTTCCATTCTCTTTCTGTCCGAATTTCCCTATTCTAGTTACCTCATGTAAGTCGAATCACAAGTATTTGTCCTTTTCATTTTGTGTTTTTCATTTAGCCTAGTGTTTTTAAGCTTCATCTGTATTATATAGCATGGATGTATCACGAATTTTCATTCCTTTTTATGGCTGAACAATACATTTTATGTATAGTCATGTGCTGCTTACTGTTTGAGTCAACAACTGACTGCATCTACATTAAATTAAAAAAAAAATTACACTTATTTTTGATAGAGGTTCTTTGTTTCTTGTAAAGGGTAGAGTTTTATTGTGCCTCAGATCTACCTTTTTACATATTATTTCAATACCTTTTTTAACTTTGGTTATCAATATGTAGGTATTAAAACTGCCTTCACCAGAAAATATGGGGAGACAGCTTTCATTGCACCCCAGTGTGAAATGATTCCAATTGAATGGGTTTGCAGAAGAATAGCAACTGGTTCTTTTCTCAAAAGAAATCCTGGTGTCAAGGAAGGATATAAGTTTTACCCACCTAAAGTGGAGTTGTTTTTCAAGGTAATTATCTTATGCCTCTATTTTATGTCTTACTATAACATGGCAATAAATTTATAATTAGAAACTCTAAAGGTTTAAATATTCAAGCAAAGTTTTTGATATTTTGATATTGCAAATGTCATCCCAAAATTTGTCTTATCTAGTTGCCAATATCAATAATGTACACTTCCATTAGCAATGATAGATCAAATTTTATAAAGAAAGCATCTGAAAATCTTACCTTTGAACCAAGATGACTAATAGGAGGACAAGAAAACTAACAGTTAATTTTTTAAAAATTTAGTTGAAATCTTTTTATATTCTAATACAGGAAAACTATACTAACAATGTCTCTTGTAAGTAAAAATATATAAATAAAGGTTGTAAGAATCAGTGGTTATGAATTTTTATAGGCTTTACTGCTTTAACCATCTTCATTTATGCTGTTAAGCATAGATCTGCTTGGGAAGCAATATCAGTGTTGCTTTTTAATCAGTAAGTTATATAACTTGTGTATTATGATTATATAGATGAAGAATTTATAAAGATATTGTCATATAAAGTTGGGACACAGCTTAGAATAAAATGAAATTATTTCATTTTTTTCACTTACCTCTTTGAGGTCTCTTGAATTATCAAATAATGCCCCTAAAAAATTATAGTCCTGTATAAATTCTAATAAAAAGTGAGGTCAGGAAGTTATGAGAACTGTAGTTTTGGAAAGATTTGATTGATTAAAATGTGCTTTGACCTTCCTGTCATGTCTGATGACTGTTACTAAGGAAAAGCAAAAACCACAAACTTAAATTCTGTTTAAATTTGTTTATAGAGGTTAAATTCTTTGAAATACTTTGTGACCTAGAATAAGTTACTCACCTAAATACTTTGAATTTTAAAGTGCTATTGAGAGTAGACAAATTAAGAGTAATAGTTTTTTCTGCTTGCAGGAGCTAACTAGGAAAAAAAGAACAAAGGAGTAATAATTGCTTTGAATTAAGGAGTATCGTAAATAAAAAATTTCTTTAGATGCCTCATTTTGTTGCCTAGGCTGCTCTTGAACTCCTAGGCTCAAGCAATCCTCCTGCCTCAGCCTCCTAAATTACTAGGACTACAGTGTAAGCCACTGCACCTGGCTCAAAATTTCTTTCTTTTCTTTTCTTTTTTTTTTTTTGAGACGGAATCTCCCTCTGTGCCTAGGCTGGAGTGCAGTGGCGCCCTCTCAGCTGACTGCAACCTCTGCCTCCCGGGTTTAAATGATTCCCCTGCCTTAGCCTCCTGAGTAGCTGGGATTACGGTGTGCACCACCACACCCAGCTAATTTTTTGTATTTTTAGTAGACAGGGTTTCACCATGTTGGCCGGGCTGGTCTCAAACTCCTGACCTTGTGATCCGCCCACCTCAGCCCCCGCAAAGCACTGAGATTACAGGCGTGAGCTACCATTCCCAGCCGTGGCTGAAAATTTCTAAGGAGTTCATGCTCAAGCTGAAAAGGATGTTGGTTTTTCTGAAAAGTTTAAAAATTTTAGATTTAAGTTAATTATACTACTATACTTTATTCACAGGATGATGCCAATAATGACCCACAGTGGTCTGAGGAACAGCTGATTGCTGCAAAACTTTGCTTCGCTGGACTTCTTATAGGCCAAACTGAAGTGGATATCATGAGTCATGCTACACAGGCTATATTTGAAATACTGGAGAAATCCTGGTTGCCCCAGAATTGTACACTGGTTGATATGAAGGTACAGATAAAACAATGGGATTTGAAAGTAAAGGTTAGAGTTGAGAGATGCTTTCATAGAATAGTTTTTGAAAACTTTGTTGACATGCTGTTTCCAGATTGAATTTGGTGTTGATGTAACCACCAAAGAAATTGTTCTTGCTGATGTTATTGACAATGATTCCTGGAGACTCTGGCCATCAGGAGATCGAAGCCAACAGAAAGACAAACAGGTAGATAATGCGTCAGGTTTTTTATCCTTTTTGAGGTCAAGCTGAGATAGAGGAGAAAGGAGAGATGAGGGGAAAAAGCAAATTATTGTTCCTAATGATAGGAACCTGTTTTGTTGATTGCTGTTTATTTTTAAAGAGAAATATCTCCGGTATCTTAATATAAGAATAATAGGAATAATACTTTACATTTATAAAGCAAATTTCTCATCTGTTACCTTAATAACCTTCTCACAACAATAACAGCAAGTACTATCTTTGGCTAAATGAAAACTAAGGGTCTTAAGAGAATGGGTATCTTCACAATTACTAGAGTCAGGCAGATCTGGGACTCTATCCCAAGTCTCCTGGATATTACCAGGCTCCATTTCTGCTCCTATAAAAAACAGTAGACACTTCGCAAAAGAAGACATCTATGTAGCCAACAAACATGAAAAAAAGCTCATCATTAGTGATCATTAGAGAAATGCAAACCTAAACCTCAATGAGATGCCATCTCACACAAGTCAGAATGGCTGCTATTAAAAAGTCAGGAAACAACAGATGCTGGAGAGGCTGTGAAGAAATAGGAACACTTCTACACTGTTGGTGGGAATACAAATTAGTTCAGCCATTGTGGAAGACAGTGCGGTGATTCCTCAAGGATCTAGAACCAGAAATACCATTTGACCCAGCAATCCCATTACTGGGTATACACCCAAAGGAATATAAATCATTCTACTGTAAAGACACGTGCACAGGAGCAGCACTATTTATAATAGCAAAGACATGGAACCAACCTAAATGCCCATCAGTGATAGACTGGATAAAGAAAATGTGGTACATGCACACCATGGAATACTATGCAGCCATAAAAAAGAATGAGATTGGCCAGGCGCGGTGGCTCACCCTGGTAATCCCAGCACTCTGGGAGGCCAAGGTGGGTGGATCACAGGGTCAGGAGTTCAAGACCATCCTGCCTGGCCAAGATGGTGAAACCTTGTCTCTAAAAATAAAATAAAATAAAATAAGCCGGGCATGGTGGTGGGCGCCTGTAATCCCAGCTACTCGGAAGGCTGAGGCAGAGAATTGTTTCAACCCAGGGGGCAGAGGTTGCAGTGAGCCAAGATCGTGCCACTGCGCTCCAGCCTGGTTGATGGAGTGAACCTCTGTCTCAAAAAAGAAAAAAGAAAGAAAAAGAAAAGAATGAGATCATGTCCTTTACAGGGAAATGGATGAAGCTAGAAGCCATCATCCTCAGCAAACTAACACAGGAACAGAAAACGAAACACCACATATTCACGCTCATAAGTGGGAGTTGAACACTGAAAACACATGGGCACAGGGAGGGGAACAACACACACCGGAGCCTCTTGCAGGATGGGGAACAACGGGAGGGAGAGCATTAGGACAAATACCTAACAGATACGGGGCTTAAAACCTAGATGACAGCTTGATGGTGCAGCAAACTACCATGGCACATGTATACCTATGTAACAAACCTGCACATTCTGCACATGTATTTAAAATAAAAAATAACCAAATTAGAGCAAGACCCTTTCTATACCTAATAGATAAAAATTCTCAAGGCAGTTAATTGTAGTTGCTACTACAGAAAACACTTAACCTTAAGAGAAAATAAAAGTATACTTTACTATGGAACTTTCTGTAGTTTAATTCAGGAAGTGAAAAGATGCATTTTCAGAAGTATCCCTTGCTATACAAGCTCTTCATAATCCCTCCCCAAAACTCAGAAACCAGATAGTTTCAGGTAGCAAGACATACTTGTTTTCTAAACTTTCTATCTTATTTTCTAGTCTTATCGGGACCTCAAAGAAGTAACTCCTGAAGGGCTCCAAATGGTAAAGAAAAACTTTGAGTGGGTTGCAGAGAAAGTAGAGGTAAACCTTCTATAGTGAAACTGTACTGTATTATGTATTATGTGTTTTTCTTCTAAGAAAATCTTGTTTCAAAAGAAAAAAATGGGAGAGTATAGTGCTTTTCTCTTCAGTGACTTTGTTTTATTTAGTTTTTTTTGGAGACACAGTCTCGCCCTGTCACCCAGGCTGGAGTGCAGTGGCACGATCTCAGCTCACTGCAAGCTCCGCCTCCCAGGTTCATGCCATTCTCCTGGCTCAGCCTCCTGAGTAGCTGGGACTACACGCGTCCGCCACCGCGCCCGGCTAATTTTTTGTATTTTTAATAGAGACGGGGTTTCAAGGCCAGGATGGTCTTGATCTCCTGACCTCATGATCCACCCACCTTGGCCTCCCTAAGTGCTGGGATTACAGGCATGAGCCATCACGGCCGGCTACTAGGCTTTCTTTCTTAATGCTCACCTCCAAAGAGCTTAAGGTATTCTAGGAGCTTAGAAAAGAAAGGAGCAGGGAGAAAGAATTAAAAATGCAAGTATGAAAAGAAAACAAAGACTAGAATAATGAGAACCTCTGCCATCCTTACCTGGTAAGAAGGCCCTGGAGCATTGCTTCTAATAACGCTCCAATAGAAAATAGGCCCCCACAGTTACAGGAGGTGGGAGGTTGAAACAGCAGGTTCTCCTGCGAATCTTTAATTGCCACCCTTTCCTGGGAGGCAGTCAGATAGGAAATTAAGGAACAGTTTCAGAATACAGTACATAAAAAATAATGGTATAGCAGTGATCTAAAATAGTGGAGTCCTGAGTTTACAACCAAATGTTTCTCAACTGGAAAAAAAAGTTGATTATTTCATCTACAGGTCGTTGCTATGGAAGTGTAGTTACTAATTTGGGAAGAGTGGGAGGTTGGGGGAACTCAGACTCCTTTGATAGCTAATGAATTCTAGAACTCTTTTCAGAAAATTGCAAATACATATAATTTTGGATTCTAGGTTAGAAATCTCTGCTTTAGGAAACAAGCAAGGATAATTTATAAATTTATCAAAGAATGAATTGCTTAAGAGATTATGTTAAAAAATATATCAAAGGGCCTTAAAAATTTGAGGACACTATATTAATTAAACTTTCCTTCAACTCTTGCTTCAGGACGTTCCCTAAACCCCTGGTCTATATTAACTGGTCTCCCTGCACCGGTTGATGGACCACCCAGTCAGGAAAGACACCTGTTCAGATGGTGTCATTCTTCACTTTGGCCAGCCTACGCAGCAATAGAAGAGGCCTATGAGCTATTCCCTAACACCCTGCTATCCCCTTTATAATGTAGATCTCAAAAACAGCCAAACCTATTCCAGCTACTTTATTACTTGACTTACAGTAAGTGGCAGAGTAACCTTATATCTTGAATATATGTGTAATAATAGTGTCTTTTATGTTTTTTCAGAGAAGACTATTCAAGGACCTCAAGTCATTAAAACATATAGGCCTTAAACCCCCCCCCCCCAAAAAAAAAACCCTGTCTTTAAATCTCTTTTGAATGTTTAGCATAACTATAAACTTGTTATTTCCCTAGGGGATGGCATTCCTACTGTATTTGTGGCAGTGGCAGGCAGAAGTAATGGTTTGGGACCAGTGATGTCTGGGAACACTGCATATCCAGTTATCAGCTGTCCTCCCCTCACACCAGACTGGGGAGCTCAGGATGTGTGGTCTTCTCTTCGACTGCCCAGTGGTAAGATACATTGAATTTTTAAAAACTGTTCATTACAAGCATTTAACAGATACACAACAGTAGACAGAATAGCATAATAAAATCTCATGTACCCATGACGTAGCTTCAGCAATTAACATCTTGTGTCTACAGCCATCTCCTGCTGGATTATTTTAAAGCAGAACTTAGACATTATAGTAATTTATACTTAATTATACGTTTAAGTAATATGGGCTCTAGTTTTTAAATCATAATCATGATGTTGTTACAGAACAAAAGGGGCCCACTTCTGATGCATTAGAAACCGGTACTATCTAAGCCACCAGGTTTTTGAGAAAGAAAGGCTTCCTCTTTCAAGTTGACCAATAAGGACACACGAGTCCAGCTCAAATCTGTCCCCCTGTGCTGGCTTTATGGCAGTAATCTTACTAGAAAAGGTTTAGGGGATAGATTCTGGGATTAGTAGGTGATTGGTGGAAGGAAAGGGGAGGTCTAGAAAGTCCTTGGGCATGTGCAGTTATCTCTTCGTGTTATTTCATGGATCATGTGTGTAAATTTGGGGGAGTTAGAATGAAATGTGGTGGACATTGGGCCTGTGACATCAGTCAGCTGGTTCTGTGCAGACTCTAGTTGGCCATATTGTTTAATCTACCATTCTGCAAACTCAAGAATTTCTGTTAGTTGTTGGTGTCTTTTAATTCCTGGGGACACAGTTTCAATACCATATTCACACCTCAGAAAGAGTAGTGGTAATTTCTTAAGATACAATTTTTAGTTGGTGTCCAAGTTTTCTAATTGTCTCATCTGTTTGTTCAGATCCACCGCAGTCCTTACATTGCATTTAGTTGATAACCTCTTAATTTATTTAATACATAACAATTCATCCTCCCTTCTTCCCTTTCATTTTTTCGATAGAATTTTCTACGTTTTGGATTTGGCTTCTTACATTTCTAGGTGGTGGTAAACATGCTCTTCCATTCCCTATATTTTCTATAAACTGATGGTGAGATCTGTAATAAAATCAAGTTTGGATATTTTTTTCCCAAGAATTCATGGTATTGAGTTTTTTTTAAAGTAAATGTGATCATGTTACTTCTGTGGAGAGAATAAAATTTTATTCTTAAATATTGGGGATAAGGCTGGGTGCAGTGGCTCATGCCTGTCATCCCAGCACTTTGGGAGGCTGGGTCTCTTGAGGTCAGGAGTTCAACACTTGCCTGGCCAATATGGTGAAACCCCATCTCTACTAAAAATACAAAAATTACCTGGGCATGGTGGTGAGCACCTGTAATCCCAGCTACTCAGAGGTTGAGGTAGGAGAATCACTTGAACCTGGGAGGCGGAGGTGAGTCAAGATTGCACCACTGGACTCCAAACTGGGCAACAGAGTGAGACTCCGTCTCAAAATAAAAAATTGGAGATAAAAGATAATAACATAAGGAAGTCCCCTTTTGGCTGATGGAACTGGATCACGTGTTGTGGTTTGTTCATCATAGACCAAGATATGATCTGACGTTCTGCAGTTTATGAGGGTCAATATTATTTCAGTAGGAGCAGATTTGCTTTATTACTGAAATCCCTAACTTTTGTCATAGCTGTATATATCCAGTCTTGATACATGTCAAGTATACTAAGTCCTTGAGCCCTCCAACCTGGTCCAGTGGACTGGCTTTTCTCTAGGCATCCTGTATTGCTGTTGTCTTAGGATCCCCCTTTACCATCATTTTAGAGACCCATTTTGCCTTTCTCTAGGCTTGGATCTCCCATGTTTTCACCTTACTTGGTTTATTTTTATTTTGTTGGAGTACGTTCTTGAACTTAGGGGCAAAAGAATACAAAAGGTAAATTTTGATACCTTGTATATCTGAAATGTTTATATTGAAGCCCTATACTTATTATCAAATTAGAATCCTATGCTGATAATCATTTTGCCTTGGAATTTTGGGAGCATTATTATTCCACTGTCTCCAAGCATCCATAGTTGAGGACTCCATTGCTTTTCCACCAGTCTGATTCTAGGTTTCTCAGGAATTTTCTCTCTGGAAACTTTCAGGATCTTTTGTCTGTTTTCATTGTTCTTAAATTTTACACAGATGTGACGTGCTGAGTCTGTTTGCATTATGGACTTTCGGTGGGCTCTTTTAATCTGAAATTCTAATTTCTTAGTCCCCATTTTCCTTGAATTATTTAATTTTCTTACCCCTCCATATTCTCTCTTCTCTCATTTTTGAATTTATTCAAATTTGGGCTTCCCTTGATTTCTATTCTACTTGTTTGTCTTGTTGCTATACTCTCTGGAATATTTCCTCAATTTTACATTCCAGCCCTTGCATTGAGTTTTTCTTTCTTTTTTCCTCCTTGAGATGGAGTCAGGCTCTGTTGCCCAGGCTGGAGTGCAATGGCACAATCTCAGCTTTACTGCAGCCTCCGTCTCCCAGGTTCAAGCAGTTCTGGTGCCTCAACCTCCCAAGTACCTGGGATTATAGGTGTGCACCACCACACCCGGCTTTTTGTATTTTTAGTAGAGATGGGGTTTTACCATGTTAGCCAGAATGGTCTTGATCTCCTGACCTCGTGATCCGCCCGCCTCAGCCTCCCAAAGTGCTGGGATTACAGGCGTGAGCCACCGTGCCCGGCTTTCCAGTGACTTTGAAAGTGAGGAACACTTTTAGGAAATGTATCAGCTGGGCAATCCTTACTAGTATACTGGAACTCCCTGCTGTTAAGCTGGCCAATACATACCTCCCAGATCCTGTTGGGGAAATCTGAAATCTGTCTCCTCCCTACTCCGCGGGAGAAACCTTATATTTCCTACTCACCTCCACAGCTACTCAGAGTTCTATTAGCATGGGATGGATGGAACTCTGTGTGGCTTTAAATGTTACTTTAAGTTTTATGGTATTACTCTAATTCTGGGAGTTGAATGGGGTTTGTGATTATGCAAGGGTCATAATCACATTTGAGAACATTATTCTCATAGGAATATATATATTTTGAGTTCCAAGCAATTAACTTACAAAGACTTAAAACATGACTTCTGATTTGGCTAATCAGAAGTATGCCTTGGCCTCCCAAAATGCTGGGATTACAGGCGTGAGCCATCACTGCTGGCCACTAGGCTTTCTTAATACTCACCTCCAAAGAGCTTAAGGTACTCTAGGAGCTTAGAAAAGAAAAGCATCCATTAAACAAAGTGCACTAAAGGTCTTAGGATGAAATATTTTGTATTATAATTTCCTGAATATTAATTAAAAGATTTTGAGTATCTTTACTGTTAAATAAACATAATTTGTCTCATAAAAATTGAATTCTTTAAGTCTTAATGATGAAGACCACTTTCCTTTATATATTGAGATTATTTAAAAAAATAAATGCTGTCTTTTTGTTATGTTTGTCTCTGTCTTAAATTTGATCTGTTAAGAAAGAAAATATTGTGCCCAGATGTAATTTCACTACAAACTCTAGCTCATTTATTCATTTTTGTTTTCATGTTCTTTTCATATCCATGTATTTTTTCTTCAGTTGCTTTTGAAATCAGAAAGTCAGTGCAGGGTTGTAGTGTTGATGGGCTCTACTTCTGATCTTGGTCACTGTGAAAAAATCAAGAAGGCCTGTGGAAATTTTGGCATTCCATGTGAACTTCGAGTAACATCTGCGCATAAAGGACCAGATGAAACCCTGAGGATTAAAGCTGAGTATGAAGGTAAACCACAAGTAATATGGACATTTCAGGTATTTCTGATTTTGCTAAAAGAAATTACACACTTAGACTAATAATGCTGAAAAAGAGCTTTGTCACTTTTCTAAGGGAAAAACACATGATATACTAGGCTTTCTTTTTTTCTTTTTCTTTTTGAGACGGCATCTCGCTTTGTCGCCCAAGCTGGAGTTGCAGTGGCGCCATCTCGGCTCACTGCAAGCTCCACCTCCCAGGTTCACGCCATTCTCCTGCCTCAGCCTCCTGAGTAGCTGGGACTACACGCGTCCGCCACCGCGCCCGGCTAATTTTTTGTATTTTTAATAGAGACGGGGTTTCAAGGCCAGGATGGTCTTGATCTCCTGACCTCATGATCCACCCACCTTGGCCTCCCTAAGTGCTGGGATTACAGGCATGAGCCATCACGGCCGGCTACTAGGCTTTCTTTCTTAATGCTCACCTCCAAAGAGCTTAAGGTATTCTAGGAGCTTAGAAGAGAAAGGAGCAGGGAGAAAGAATTAAAAATGCAAGTATGAAAAGAAAACAAAGACTAGAATAATGAGAACCTCTGCCATCCTTACCTGGTAAGAAGGCCCTGGAGCATTGCTTCTAATAACGCTCCAATAGAAAATAGGCCCCCACAGTTACAGGAGGTGGGAGGTTGAAACAGCAGGTTCTCCTGCGAATCTTTAATTGCCACCCTTTCCTGGGAGGCAGTCAGATAGGAAATTAAGGAACAGTTTCAGAATACAGTACATAAAAAATAATGGTATAGCAGTGATCTAAAATAGTGGAGTCCTGAGTTTACAACCAAATGTTTCTCAACTGGAAAAAAAAGTTGATTATTTCATCTACAGGTCGTTGCTATGGAAGTGTAGTTACTAATTTGGGAAGAGTGGGAGGTTGGGGGAACTCAGACTCCTTTGATAGCTAATGAATTCTAGAACTCTTTTCAGAAAATTGCAAATACATATAATTTTGGATTCTAGGTTAGAAATCTCTGCTTTAGGAAACAAGCAAGGATAATTTATAAATTTATCAAAGAATGAATTGCTTAAGAGATTATGTTAAAAAATATATCAAAGGGCCTTAAAAATTTGAGGACACTATATTAATTAAACTTTCCTTCAACTCTTGCTTCAGGACGTTCCCTAAACCCCTGGTCTATATTAACTGGTCTCCCTGCACCGGTTGATGGACCACCCAGTCAGGAAAGACACCTGTTCAGATGGTGTCATTCTTCACTTTGGCCAGCCTACGCAGCAATAGAAGAGGCCTATGAGCTATTCCCTAACACCCTGCTATCCCCTTTATAATGTAGATCTCAAAAACAGCCAAACCTATTCCAGCTACTTTATTACTTGACTTACAGTAAGTGGCAGAGTAACCTTATATCTTGAATATATGTGTAATAATAGTGTCTTTTATGTTTTTTCAGAGAAGACTATTCAAGGACCTCAAGTCATTAAAACATATAGGCCTTAAACCCCCCCCCCCCAAAAAAAAAACCCTGTCTTTAAATCTCTTTTGAATGTTTAGCATAACTATAAACTTGTTATTTCCCTAGGGGATGGCATTCCTACTGTATTTGTGGCAGTGGCAGGCAGAAGTAATGGTTTGGGACCAGTGATGTCTGGGAACACTGCATATCCAGTTATCAGCTGTCCTCCCCTCACACCAGACTGGGGAGCTCAGGATGTGTGGTCTTCTCTTCGACTGCCCAGTGGTAAGATACATTGAATTTTTAAAAACTGTTCATTACAAGCATTTAACAGATACACAACAGTAGACAGAATAGCATAATAAAATCTCATGTACCCATGACGTAGCTTCAGCAATTAACATCTTGTGTCTACAGCCATCTCCTGCTGGATTATTTTAAAGCAGAACTTAGACATTATAGTAATTTATACTTAATTATACGTTTAAGTAATATGGGCTCTAGTTTTTAAATCATAATCATGATGTTGTTACAGAACAAAAGGGGCCCACTTCTGATGCATTAGAAACCGGTACTATCTAAGCCACCAGGTTTTTGAGAAAGAAAGGCTTCCTCTTTCAAGTTGACCAATAAGGACACACGAGTCCAGCTCAAATCTGTCCCCCTGTGCTGGCTTTATGGCAGTAATCTTACTAGAAAAGGTTTAGGGGATAGATTCTGGGATTAGTAGGTGATTGGTGGAAGGAAAGGGGAGGTCTAGAAAGTCCTTGGGCATGTGCAGTTATCTCTTCGTGTTATTTCATGGATCATGTGTGTAAATTTGGGGGAGTTAGAATGAAATGTGGTGGACATTGGGCCTGTGACATCAGTCAGCTGGTTCTGTGCAGACTCTAGTTGGCCATATTGTTTAATCTACCATTCTGCAAACTCAAGAATTTCTGTTAGTTGTTGGTGTCTTTTAATTCCTGGGGACACAGTTTCAATACCATATTCACACCTCAGAAAGAGTAGTGGTAATTTCTTAAGATACAATTTTTAGTTGGTGTCCAAGTTTTCTAATTGTCTCATCTGTTTGTTCAGATCCACCGCAGTCCTTACATTGCATTTAGTTGATAACCTCTTAATTTATTTAATACATAACAATTCATCCTCCCTTCTTCCCTTTCATTTTTTCGATAGAATTTTCTACGTTTTGGATTTGGCTTCTTACATTTCTAGGTGGTGGTAAACATGCTCTTCCATTCCCTATATTTTCTATAAACTGATGGTGAGATCTGTAATAAAATCAAGTTTGGATATTTTTTTCCCAAGAATTCATGGTATTGAGTTTTTTTTAAAGTAAATGTGATCATGTTACTTCTGTGGAGAGAATAAAATTTTATTCTTAAATATTGGGGATAAGGCTGGGTGCAGTGGCTCATGCCTGTCATCCCAGCACTTTGGGAGGCTGGGTCTCTTGAGGTCAGGAGTTCAACACTTGCCTGGCCAATATGGTGAAACCCCATCTCTACTAAAAATACAAAAATTACCTGGGCATGGTGGTGAGCACCTGTAATCCCAGCTACTCAGAGGTTGAGGTAGGAGAATCACTTGAACCTGGGAGGCGGAGGTGAGTCAAGATTGCACCACTGGACTCCAAACTGGGCAACAGAGTGAGACTCCGTCTCAAAATAAAAAATTGGAGATAAAAGATAATAACATAAGGAAGTCCCCTTTTGGCTGATGGAACTGGATCACGTGTTGTGGTTTGTTCATCATAGACCAAGATATGATCTGACGTTCTGCAGTTTATGAGGGTCAATATTATTTCAGTAGGAGCAGATTTGCTTTATTACTGAAATCCCTAACTTTTGTCATAGCTGTATATATCCAGTCTTGATACATGTCAAGTATACTAAGTCCTTGAGCCCTCCAACCTGGTCCAGTGGACTGGCTTTTCTCTAGGCATCCTGTATTGCTGTTGTCTTAGGATCCCCCTTTACCATCATTTTAGAGACCCATTTTGCCTTTCTCTAGGCTTGGATCTCCCATGTTTTCACCTTACTTGGTTTATTTTTATTTTGTTGGAGTACGTTCTTGAACTTAGGGGCAAAAGAATACAAAAGGTAAATTTTGATACCTTGTATATCTGAAATGTTTATATTGAAGCCCTATACTTATTATCAAATTAGAATCCTATGCTGATAATCATTTTGCCTTGGAATTTTGGGAGCATTATTATTCCACTGTCTCCAAGCATCCATAGTTGAGGACTCCATTGCTTTTCCACCAGTCTGATTCTAGGTTTCTCAGGAATTTTCTCTCTGGAAACTTTCAGGATCTTTTGTCTGTTTTCATTGTTCTTAAATTTTACACAGATGTGACGTGCTGAGTCTGTTTGCATTATGGACTTTCGGTGGGCTCTTTTAATCTGAAATTCTAATTTCTTAGTCCCCATTTTCCTTGAATTATTTAATTTTCTTACCCCTCCATATTCTCTCTTCTCTCATTTTTGAATTTATTCAAATTTGGGCTTCCCTTGATTTCTATTCTACTTGTTTGTCTTGTTGCTATACTCTCTGGAATATTTCCTCAATTTTACATTCCAGCCCTTGCATTGAGTTTTTCTTTCTTTTTTCCTCCTTGAGATGGAGTCAGGCTCTGTTGCCCAGGCTGGAGTGCAATGGCACAATCTCAGCTTTACTGCAGCCTCCGTCTCCCAGGTTCAAGCAGTTCTGGTGCCTCAACCTCCCAAGTACCTGGGATTATAGGTGTGCACCACCACACCCGGCTGATTTTTGTATTTTTAGCGGAGACATGGTTTCACCATGTTGGCCAGGCTGGTCTTGAACTCTTAACCTAAGGTGATCTGCCTGCCCTGGCCTCCCAAAGTGCTGAAGTTACAGGCGTGAGCCACTGTACCCGGCCTTCATTTTGGATACAGGTGTTTTTGTTTTTGTTTTTTGACACAGGATCTTGCTCTGTTGCCCAGGTGGGAGCGCAGTGGCGTGATCATATCTCACTGGACCCTTAAATTCCTAGGCTCATGTGATCCGCCCACCTCAGCCTCCCAAGTAGCTACGACTACAGGCCCACACCATCACACCTGGCTAATTTTTTTACTTTTTGTAGAGATGGGCACTTCGTATGTTGCCCAGGCTTGTCCTGTACTCCTGGGCTCAAGCAATCTTCCCACCTCAGCCTCCCAAAGTGTTGGGATTGGATAGGAACCACTGTCTCTGGTTTTTTTTACACGAAGTTTTCGTATTTCTTTTGGTTTTTGTTTTCTGGGCTTTTGTTGTTGTTGTCGTTTGTGTTTGTGTGTTTTTAAATTTCCAAGAGCTCTTTTTTGTTCTCTGGAGAAGATGATTATAGTCTGTTGCATATAGTTACTTTCTTCAGCTGTCTGGTAATCCTTGGCTGTTTGCTTTTTTAAGAGTGGAGTACTATAAAAAACCAATTGGAAACTTCAAATGGGTGGTGTGTGTCAAAATTGGGCTTCACTGTGGGGTGTATCTGGTAGTGATTGTTCTTCAAATAACTCCTCATATTAATGTCTAGGTATTTTCTTAAGCGTTGACCAGAATTACTCAGAGAACAAAAGTGTCTGGTGTCCCCTGGTTCAAAGACACCTAGACTGGGAAGTCTGTTTTACCTTCAGAAAAATTAAAGGTCTGGCATGGTGGCTCATGCCTATAATCCCAACACTTTGGGAGGCAGAGATTGGTGGATTGCCTGAGCTCAGCCTAGGCAACCTGGCAACACCCCGTCTCTACCATAAATACAAAAATTAGCTAGGCATGGTAGCACACTCCTGTAGTCCCAGCTACTTGGGAAGCCAAGGTGGGAGGATCACTGGGGCCTGGGGAGTTGAGGCAGTAGTGAGCCGTGATGGCACCACTGCACTCCGGATGACAGAGCGAGACCCTGTCTCAGAAAAAAATAATGTTTAAAAAGAAAAAAAATTGCTACAGTGCTTTAAAGAGGCAGTTACTCGGGTAGATGGAGTGGAGAAGGAGATATGAGGGCCTAGCTGCTTCTTAGACTTCGAGTCAGTCATCTTATTAGTCCCTATTCCCTTCCAAAGGTATCTAGTGCCACTAATTTAGTCAGTCAACCTTTCGGGAAGTTATGTAATGTCAATCATGTGAATAATCTTAACTCCCTCAGCTAAAACTGGCATTACTGGCTCCCAGCTATGTTTTTCCAGACTTGTATTTTCTTTTTTTTTTTTTTTTTTTTTTTCCCGAGACAGGGTCTTACTGTTGCCCAGGCTGGAGTGCAGTGGCGTGATCTCAGTTCACTGCAACCTCTGCCTCCCAGGTTCAAGCGATTCTCCTGCCTCAGCCTCCCAAGTAGCTGAGATCACAGGCATGCACCACCACGCCCAGCTAATTTTGATTACATTTTCTTGGTCTGCTAAGTTAGCTACTACTCTATTTGCCTTTCAATTGCCAAAATGTTACTGCTGTTATCTGGCCTTGTGTGTTCATGCCCATTTCCTTTATTCCCTTTGCTGTTTTTATAGGCTCTGAGAATTAAATTTTGTGCCTAAGCTATCTTTAACAAGATATGACTATACAAATGTCTCAAGCTGAAAATCGGCAGCTACAAATAAAGCTGTAACCAAATTTATGCCAGAATTGTATAGATATCCATGGAGCTTACAAAAGGGGAGCATGATGAGCAAAAAATTGGCAATTTTTATAGTAGTGCCGTTTCAGGAGTGACAGATAATCTGGAAGACTTGTACATAATGATCACTAGAATCTTTTGAGGAGTAGTTTTACAGTAACCTGTGTAAAATCCTGAAGACTGCCCATATTTCTCATCTCTGATGTCATGCTCACTAGATAACTTTTTTTTTTTTTTACTTTAAGCTATTCTTTTACCAGAAAGGGTGTCCTAGGCAGGAGACACAGGTTATTTCAACTATTAGAGTGGAGCACTCTACCCAGTGTGCTAACAATAATAGTTGACATTCTTGGAGCACATATTGTGTACCAGGCAATGCTCTAAGCACTTTATATTATTAACTCATTGAAGTGTCACATCAGGTAGCTACTAGTTACAATTCCCTTCTCACAGAAGAGGAGAATAAATTAACATGAAGTAACTTGACCAATACCACACAGTAATGGGTGGAGCTCCATAAAATAATGTGTTAATACAAATTAGTAAATTGGCCTTGTGATTTGTATTTGACTCTGTTCTTGTTGTGGAAAATGGTAGTCAAAGAGCCTGATGAATTCCAAGAATACTGGGAAAATGGAGCTTTTGGATATAGTCCCTGCTAGCAAACACTAGACATAATAGTACCACCTCAAGACACTCTGCCTGAGCAGACATGTGGCCCCTAGGATGTTACTTTCTTATTCTGCTGTCTTGGATCTTATTACTATTTATTTATAACTTGACATTTCCTAAAATTATTCTGTGGATTTGATTTTTGTTACTGCTTAAAAATGTTAAAATAGTTCAAATGTAGACAGAAAGATTAGTTAGAAAATTATCAAAACAACATAGCTCAAGTTTGTCTAAGAACAGGTACTTCTGGCCACTTACCTTGACCCTTATTTTACTTCAGTTGCTCTTCGCCAGGGATTGAAAGGGATAGTGTATGTGAACAGAACTTTCAAAAAGGTAAGTTTCCTTGTAAGTGAATTCTGTAAGAAGGGTGATAGATGATATCTATAAAATGTCTCTTCATGGCAGGTAATACTGACTGCTTTTCCTCTTATAATCACTTTACCACTCCGGTATTAAAGACAGTTCTTCTAGAGATTCTACTTTAGATTAGAATAATGCAGTAGCTTTTTATTTTCTGTGGCAGGACTGCTCTGAGTATAAAATTTTTTGTGAGGTTGTATTTTCATTATTTATTGAGCTCAATTTTCTGTCTTTTCCTTTCTGAACCAATAGGTCTTGGCTGTTCAACCATACTTTCTCCAGAAGGATCAGCTCAATTTGCTGCTCAGATATTTGGATTAAACAACCATTTGGTATGGAGCAAACTGCGAGCAAGCATTTTGAACACATGGATTTCCTTGAAGCAGGCTGACAAGAAAATCAGAGAATGCCATTGAATTTTTTAGGGGAAAAACTACAAAGTTCTAATTTAGCTGAAGGAAAATCAAGCAAAATGAAAAAGTAATTTTAAATTAGAGAACACAAAATGTATTAGTGAATAAATGCTTTTCTAGATCCATATTAATAAATATGAACACCTAACCTCTCCTTTCTTAGGTTAGACACCAAGATATTTCAGCCAGCCTTTATCATTCCTCTTATTTTATCCTTTTTTCCTTAAGTATTGGTGGTCACTACTATTGAGTTTCTTCCTTAACACTGATTGAATAATCTTAACTCCCTCAGCTAAAACTGGCATTACTGGCTCCCAGCTATGTTTTTCCAGACTTGTATTTTCTTTTTTTTTTTTTTTTTTTTTCCCGAGACAGGGTCTTACTGTTGCCCAGGCTGGAGTGCAGTGGCGTGATCTCAGTTCACTGCTGCCTTCCCTCCTGGGCTCAAGCAGTTCTCCCACCTCAGCCTCTCGAGTAACAAAGATTATAATCTTGCAGCTCCATGCCGAGCTAATTCTATTTTTTGTAGAGATGGGGTCTCACTATGTCACCCAGGTTGGTCTCAAACTCCTGGACCCAAGTAATTCTCCTACCTCAGCCTCCCAAAATGCTAGGGTTACAGGCATGAGCCACTGTGCCTGGCTAGACTTATACTTTCAACTGTCCATTTCTCCCTGTACCTCCCATGGGCACTCTCATAAAAAACAGAATGCTCCCAACTTTATTCATCTTCCAAGCCTGAAACTCTTGGTATGCTCACTGCTGCCAAGTCAGAAGCTTGATTTCATCATTGATGTTTTTTTTCACATTTCACATCTCACTCATCAAGTCATGTTGGTGTTAATTTCTAATTAACCCTTGAAATTGCCATCTTCTCATCCTCTGTACAAAAGCCTCAAGTGAGGGTCAAATTCAACATTATCCTGATCTAGACAGTCCCCATTCTCAATCCACCCTTTTCCAAGTTGATTGCCCAAGGACTTCTAACATAATAAACTCTTTTGCACCACAGACTTCTTTGGAAATATATATGCTGTTGACCCTCTCTGTAGAAAACTGCACACATAAAACTTACCAACAGATGTCATTGGTTCTTGGGTTCTCCCGAAGCCTATCCATGGTTTATAGATTAAGAATTGACGAGGTAGCTGGGCGCAGTGGCTCACACCTATGATCACAGCACTTTGGGAGGCTGAAGCAAGCAGATCACTTGAGGTCAGGAGTTTGAGACCAGCCTGGCCAACATGGTGAAACCCTGTCTCTATTAAAAATACAAAACTTGGGAGGCTGAAGCAAGCAGATCACTTGAGGTCGGAGTTTGAGACACAGCCGTGGCCAACATTGGGAGGGGGGCGTTTTTTGAAACCTGTCCCCTATTAAAAATACCCAAAAAATTAGCCACGCCGTGGATGGCGGGCACCTGTAATCCTCAGCTCCACTCCGGGAAGTGAAGCATGAGAATTGCTTGACCCAGGAGGCGGTAGGTTGCAGTGAGCCTAGATCACGCCAACCTGCACTCCAACCTGGGCAACAGAGCGAGACTCTCGTCCTCAAAAGGGAAAAAAAAAATTGCTGATGTGACCCAATGCAACAGGAAGCTCATTTTCCGTCGTAATTTCTGGACTGCCACACATAGGTATCCTTTAAGTTCTTCCGAAAGGCCCCCACCATCTTTTTATCATTTAAGACCTAATTTGTTACTAAGGTAGAAGCTTTATCTCAAATGTCTCATTTTTGAAAACCTTCTGTTAATCCACAGTGACTTACAAAGTAGTTCTTTCTCTATTGAATGTAGGTCCAGAATCAGAAGATGTCATTGTATACTTACTTTCCTCCACACGGTGTGTTACACTCCTGATCGTCTATGCTAGCTATCGCCAGAGATTATAAAGTATAAACTCCATTGTGTACTACTTAAGTTTGTATCTTATGGCTAGTTTATATATGAACAATTAAAAGCGACTTAGAAATTCAACTGTTGGGCTTTTCATGGTCTCTGAGTCACTGGCTGCTATTCCTCAGCTTCGGTACCCTTAACCTCACGCATTAAGACTGCATCTAGCTTCTGTGCAGTAATAATGAAAATTTGTTAACATTCATTTAGACTGGTAGCACATATGGACTACCATTAAGAATTGTCATTATCAATATTTTTTCCCTTTTTTTTTTTCTTTCTTTTTAAGAGCCAAGGTTCCTCACTGTCCCCAGGCTGGAGTACAGTGGCATCGAATTAATAGCTCCCTGCAGCCTTGAACTCCTGGGACTCCAAGCTGCACCTCTTGAGTAGCTGGGTGCATGGTGCCCACCATGCCCAATTATGAATTTTGCATCATTAGTTTTCCTTAGTGGAGTCACATGGTCCTCAGCTTGTATAGTTCCCATCAGTGCTAAATATTGAGAGTATTTCTACCTGGTTTTGAAAAGTAACTTAAGCCTACCTGGTCTGGTATCTTTTGTGAGTATACTTCCCCACGGACCTGTAGGTAAACACTTAATAAAAAGAGAAAAATTATCCCAATAAACAAGTTTTTTAACCTTTTATCATAAAGACATGCTTTAAATTGCCTGTTAAGGCTTTCTGACATTTAAACCACTGAACTAACTAAAAGACAAAACAACTTAGTTAGCAAGCTCATTCAGTATCCACTACCCCAATACTGGTTTGACTCCTAGGAGCCTAGAAAGTAGGACTGAACAAAGCCCTCACCCACCCATTGGAACTTATGTTTTAGAGGGAAAAACAAACCAATAAAGAAGATAACCAGTATAAAATCAGGAAGGATAAATGCATATGAGAAATCAAAAATGAGGACATGATGGGGATACGAAGGGAAAGTTTTTGGAAGGAAACGCAGAGCAATGATGTAAGAAGCAAGACACACAGAGATAGGAAATAGCTTTCCCCATAACTAAGGGAACGGAAATAAAGTTGAGTTTTGCCTTGCGGACCCTCCAAAAACCATGAGAATTGCCCTGGAGCTCTGGAACAAGGATGAGAATGAAAGACAATATAAAGAAAAGGCTAAGATCACTTAGGGGCCTATAGGCCACACTGGAGTGTGACAGGAAAAACTACTCCTAGTTTGAGCAGAAGGCCTGACATACTTTCTGTGCCTCAATTTCCATCGAACTCGTGAAAAGTCGACTAATACCCACCTTATAAAGTTGTAGATTACATGAGTCAATATATGTAAGGGGCCCGATCATCGGCACACAAATGTGTTATGAGAATTATCTGTTGGGGCCGCAGACCTGAAGTAACAGTATCGGTCGAATTCATTCCACCCATAAAAATTGGAATTCTCTGGCGCATCGGTAGCCTCAAAATGCCTGTAATCCAGCCACTTTGAGGAGCCGAGGCAGGTGGAGTCACCCTGAGAGTTCCAGGAGGTCGAGACCGCAGCGCGACCAAACATGGGGGAAAACCCATCTCTAACTAAAAAATAACAAAAACTATGCCGGGCCATGGTGGCGCA